TGCTTGTGAAGAAAAACACTAACTTCACACACGTGGTGGCCGATAGGGTCACAGGGCTTGATGGTGCCACCTATACAGTGCTGTTCGTTGGTACAGGTAGGCTCTTTGGGTGTGCCCAAGGCTGGGAGCCTGGGGATGCCGCGAGCGAGGCCCGAGGCTTCATCCCTTACATGCTCTCCTCATCCCTCTCCAGGAGATGGCTCGCTGCTGAAGGCTGTGAACCTGGGGCCCTGGATCCACATGATAGAGGAGCTGCAGGTGTTTGACCAGGAGCCGGTGGGAAGTCTGGTGCTGTCTCAGAGTCAGGTAGGAGGATGGGCCACACATTCCGCACCGCCCGCCCTCTGCATCGCCATCTGTCTCACACCCAGCCTTTCTGCTTCCCTGGTCAGGCTCATGTGATTGGCCAGCTCAGGACACCTCGCTTAGTGCATGTGCATTCCAGGAAGTAAGAGCATTAACGCACCGGAACCTGCCCTCCAAGGGTTCTTATATAGAGCCAATCCCCGTGGGCCCCCATTCCCAGAATCCAGCCTTGGCAAATGCCGTCATGTTTTCTTCAGGCCCTTCCAAGTGGGTCTGGGGCTTTGCCTGTAACCTCTCAGTCATGCCCTGGTTGACCAGACCTTCCAGGCTCTAAGATGTTTTTGGTACCCATGCAGCAGGGACATCAGTTTTCTTCCAGTGCCCAGTGGGTCTCTGCCGGGCCCTCAATTTCCTGAATCTTTTCCTTGAAGCATTTGCTTTTTTTTTTTAACCTTCATGCAAAACTGGCATATCCACAGCACCCTCTGGACTTTGTGTGCCTTTTAGCAGCTATCACGACTCAGAGTTGCTCCCCGATCATTGAATAATGAGATGGCAGCAGGGAAAGCGTGGGGTGGAGCAAATGCCCAGCTTGGCAGTCACCATTCAGAGGAAAACACCCCAGAAGGGTATGCTTGTTGTTGTGCAGGCTCCCAGGGCTGGAGGAAAACCGTTCTCTGAACCGTGTGTGAGCAAGTGTGCTTACACCTCAGCCTCCCCGTCTGCTGTCCCTGTCTAATGGGGTCATGTCTATTAAAGTGATTAGGATTGTGCTGGCTAAGCCCTCATCACGTTTGCTCCTCCGGCCTGGACTTTTCTCTTGTCTTCTTCCTCCTTTGGTGCCTAGTGTAGTGTGCTCATGCTCTCTGCACAAATCCCAGCTACCTCTCTCTGTGCCTGTCCCTCTCAAAGGCCAACCCTTTGCCTGATTTTTCTGCAGAAGATGATTTTTGCTGGCTCCCACTCTCAGCTGGTCCAGTTGCCCCTGGCTGACTGTACAAAGTACCACCTCTGTACAGACTGTGTCCTTGCCCGGGACCCCTACTGTGCCTGGAATGTCAACACCAGCCGCTGTGTGGCCACCACCAGTGACCACTCAGGGTAAGTCTGGTAATCTGTGCCAGGAGGGGAGACAAAAGTGGTTTGAGATCAGGTGGTGGTGGTGCTCGCCTTTAATCCCAGCACTCGGGAGGCAGAGGCAGGCGGATCTCTGAGTTTGAGACCAGCCTGGTCTACAGAGCCAGTTCCAGGACAGCCTCCAAAGCCACAGAGAAACCCTGTCTCGAAAAAACAACAACAAAAAAGTGGTTTGGAGTAGCACCTGCTGATGTCCTCTCATTTCCCTACAGATCCCTTCTGATCCAACAAGTGACAAACTTGGATCCCTCAACGTTGTGCAACCAGTATGGCATTAAGAAGGGTGAGCTGTTTTTTGTTTCTGCTTTTTATTTTGGGGATGGGCCCCCATCACAGCCAGAGTTGGCGCATCTCCTGCTGTTGGCTCTGGTTTCCTGTGTTAATGCTGTTCTCTTTCATTTTGGCCCCTGCAGTCAGACCTACTTCCAAGAACATCACAGTAGTAGCAGGCACAGACCTGGTTCTGCCCTGCCACCTCTCATCCAACCTGGCCCGTGCTCGCTGGACCTTCAAAAACCAGGAGCTGCCTGCAGAGCAACCTGGCTCCTTCCTTTATGACCCAGGACTCGAGGTGCTGGTAGTGATGGCTGCCCAGCCTCGCCACGCTGGGCCCTATCGATGCTACTTGGAGGAGCAGGGGACAAGGCTACCTGCAGAAAGCTACCGTGTTACTGTCGTGGCTGGCCCATCAGTGACCATGGAGGCCCGGGCTCCCTTGGAAAACCTGGGGTTTGTGTGGCTAGCTGTGGTGGCTCTGGGGGCCGTGTGCCTGGTATTGCTGCTGCTGGTTTTGTCACTTCGTCGGCGACTTCGAGAAGAGCTAGAAAAGGGTGCCAAGGCAGCTGAGAGGACATTGGTGTACCCCCTAGAACTGCCCAAGGAACCAACCAGTCCCCCCTTTCGTCCTGGCCCTGAAACAGACGAGAAACTCTGGGATCCCGTTGGCTACTACTATTCAGATGGCTCTCTCAAGATTGTGCCTGGTCATGCCCGGTGCCAGCCTGGGGGCGGGCCCCCTTCTCCGCCTCCTGGCATACCTGGTCAGCCCCTGCCCTCTCCAACTCGGCTTCACCTAGGGGGCGGGCGGAACTCAAACGCTAATGGTTATGTGCGCTTACAGCTGGGAGGGGAGGACCAAGAAGGACTTGGTCACCCACTGCCTGAGCTCTCTGATGAACTGCGCCGCAAACTGCAGCATCGCCAGCCACTGCCTGACTCTAACCCAGAGGAGTCCTCAGTATGAGGGAACCCCCCACCCACCTCACCGGCGGGGCTTTCTTGGGAGGTGCACTCTTAACTTTTGCACAGGCACCAGCTACCTCAGGGACATGGCAGGGGCACCTGCTCCGCGACAGACACTGCCCAGCGTTTGCCCAGCCATGAGGACCTGCTCAGCGTGGGCACCGCCACTTGGTGTGGCTCAGCAGGGCACCAGCCTCACAGGAGGCACGCCTTCCTCTGTGAATTTCAGACACGCGGGACCCCCAACAGCCAAAACTTTGCAAGGCAGAAGTTTCAAGATGTGGGTGTTTGTGCATATATGTGTCGGTGCATGTATGTATGGAGACTCTGTGTGTGTGTGTGTGTGTGTGTGTGTGTGTGTGTGTGTGTGTGTGTGTGTCTCTCTCTGTCAAGTCTTCCCTTGGCCTGGGGTCCTCCTGGTGAGTCTTTGGAGCTATGAAGGGGAAGGGGGTCATGCCACTTTGCCTCTCCTAACCCCACCTGTCCTGAGCTTGGGACAGTGATGTACATATGGGGATGGGATGGACAGGGTGTTGTACCCCTTTGAGGGGAACGCAGGACTCAGGGGTGGGCCTAGTCCTGCTCCTAGGGCTGTGAATGTTTTCAGGGCGGGGGGAGGGAGATGGAGCCTCCTGCTTCAGGGGGAAGGGTGGGCAGGGCCTCCCACTTGGCCTCTGGGTTCAGTGGTTTTATACTTGTGCTCTTCCGACAGGGCTGGGAAAGGTTGTTGGGGGGAGGGGAGGGAGAAGATGGGCATGCTGTGGATACTGGCATATCCTCTCCCAGCTCTAGGAAAAGGGCTCCTAACAGTGTAACTTATTGTGTCCCCACATATTTATTTGTTGTAAATATTTGAGTATTTTTATATTGAGAAATAAAATGGAGAAAATGAAACTTAACTCTGGTGTGCAGATGTTTTGACTAAAACCTATCTATTGACCCAGAGGGAACCATCCTTTGGGCTAGGCCCATCATGGTCTTAATGCCTGTCTGTGCCCCCTCTCTGGAGGCGCCAGCTGAGACTCAAGTGTTTTCCCACAGTGGTGCCTATGGGACTGGGAACCAGACCACGGCTATGTCCTCTTGGGAACCAGACTTGGCCTGGTGCCACAGGGAAAAGTCAGCTTTTTGGGGGAAGTGGAGAAGGGGTTTGTCTTCCCAGAACTCCAGGAAGGGTGAGCATGGGGTGAGGGGTCTGAAGGAGAGGACCTAGAAGCTTCTGGAGGTTGTGTGGACAGTGTTTTTCTAAAGACAGCTCAGGACAAGCTCAATGGTCGGAGGAACTACTTGTAGCTTTCTGTCCCATCTGTAGGGAAAGATAGTAGTCCCCACTGCCACCCAGGGAGTTCCAGGCCCTATTCTAGTGAGGGAGTACAGGCCCAGATGTTACTGGGAAAAACAACAGGCCCAGCCTGGATTCATTTTTGAGTGCCCTGGATGGGAGTTGCCCAGCAAATGTTTCAGAAAGGAAAATAGGGGGAAAATAATGACGTTTTAAGTTGAATTCAATGTTATTGTTGGCAGCAATTTGGGCACGACTGGTTTAGATAAATCTAACTGGCGCATAGGGGCAGTCTGAGACCACAATAGTGGGCACCCCCTGCCCTCGGCTCTCCCCTACCCCCAAACACTTGGTTACAGCTTGAGCCGGCTGCAGTCCTGGTTTCCCTGAGTGTGTGTGGGTCAGAAGGCTGGATTATGCTTGAGTGTGTTTCCCTTAGCTCAGATGTCAGCCCAGAGGATGCTGTCAGCCAGTGCCCATTGAGGGGGCGGAGGGTTAAGTACAAAGGTGGGCCTGGTCTTTGCTTTGCCCTCAGGCCACTTGCTTCTCAATGGATTGTTAAGGAACGAGGGTTAGGGTGATAAATGGCTTTCTGGCGGTCACTGTGCAGCCCATGGACGGCCTGTGACTCGGGTGATGCCGGGAAGAAGGGAGGAGAGGAACTGTGGGCGGCGTCCAGAGTTCTTGTGCCCTGGGGAGCCCGCGAGGCCTCGGTTCTGACGAATGCGACATAAACACTGCCAGGCCGGCCAAGCTGCCTGGTCCCCACACCCTACAAGGCTCGGCTGCACGAACCGTCCCGCCTCCTGCGGGGTGCGCAGCAGAACCCCGCGCCTTTGCTCCTCCTGGTGCTTCGTTAGCCTCGGGCGCCCTCCCGTGGTGGAAGAGCAGCAAGGCCCAGACCATCCAGCCCTGCCTCACTATCGTTATTGGTTGCTAAACTAAGGTCTAAACGTCGGATTGGTCGTCTCGGGTGAGAGGGCGGGACTCGGAGGTCAACCACGGACGCCGAGTGGTCAGCCTGGGACGGAGGCGTGGGCACATCGAAGGAACGCCCGGCTGCAGACCCGGCAGCCGAGATGGCGGCGCCGCAACCCTGCGCGGATGGCTCCTGCTGCTCACACCCCGGGGCTGTGCCCGGGGTACAGCAGACGCTGGAGGAGATGGACTTCGAGAGGGGTGAGAAGGGTGAGGCGGACGCGTGGCTGGCGGCGGGCAATTCCAAGCCCTGGGGACGTGAACCAAAGGAAGCCGCGAACCGAGTTTGGAGCTTCCGGGCCTGGTGCGGGAAGGCTGACCGCAAAGCGTAGCAGAAAGCCCTTCGGTCACATCGTCTCGTACGCGGACGGGTAAACTGAGGCATTGGTTTCCGAGCCGGGTCTGGAGACCAACCTAGCTAGGAGACAGTCTGCTCAGGTGACGGGGAGCTAGGGACAGAATCTGCAGTTGGTTGATTGTATCCACCTGCGGGATCAGGGGAGCTGATCTCGAGTGTGAGTGTATGTGTTTTAGCTATGACAGTCATCGCTAATCAGGTGATTGCATCTTAGCAGGTGAAGCGCGAAATGTAACTGTCTTGTCCCAGATTATCCAGATATCTTGCTGCCATGTTCTCTGTACCTGGAACCGAACCACTAGGTTCCGGACTATGTTATCCCCACGCACAGACAGGTGGCTTGTACAGCTATAGCAGGGTAGGGTAGATGCTACAGATGTATGTGCAGTCACACCTGACCGTTGCCACAGCAATGTTTTCTTAGCCTTCACCCTTCATCTCTGCGACTGCCGTCCGTCCTTTGGGCTAGGGATATAATAGGACTTCCTCTCACACCCTCATGCAGTGTTTTCTCCTTGCTATTGGAAAATAGCAAATGAGATTATTACATTTAATTTTTTTAATGTAAAGATCATTTGTATGCGTTTGTCAGAATTATGTCTGTATACCACACGTGTCTGGTGCTCATGGAGGCCAGAAAAGGGCATCAGGTTCCCTGGAATTGCAGCTACAGAAGGTTGTGAGCTTAGTGCTGGGAACCGACCTGGGTCCTCCGCAGAACAGCCAGTGCTCTTAACTGCTCAGCCATTCCTCCAGCCCCTTCTATTGCTTTTAGTCCCCTTAGCCGAGTCCTCCATTGTGACCTGCAAAGCTCTGTTTCTGTATCCTCGTAATAGTTCTCATCCTTGCTGCAGTCCTCTTTGGGTTTCTCAAGTGTGCAAGACCCTTGCCTGATTGCCACCGTTCTTTTTGCTTGCTAGCCAGTCTTCCTGCAAACTCAGGCTACCTGAAGCTTTTCCTTCAGCTGTCAGTTCTATGACATCTCTTCAGAGAAACCTTCCTAATGCCTTAGAATCCTTACCTGGGGACAGTTATGTCCAGTAAAGGGCTAGAGACATTTTTCGATGTCACAGCTGATCAGACATGCACAAGACAGTTGCCACAAGAGAAGAGGACCTGGCTCAACATGTCAGCCCTGTATCTGTTGAGAAAGAAACCTTGTCATGTGCAAAGCGCGGGTTACTCTGTTACGTTAGCACTTGTTCTCATTGTAGCAGTTTGGACTGACTCAGAAGCTGGGGCAGGAAGGAGGTTTACAAGTTCATAGCCAGGCAGAGCCGGGATGCATAGTGAGACACTTGTCTCAGAAGATAAAAATGAAAAAGGAATAGTTTGTGTATCAACTGCTGTTAGTTTATTTGCTTATTTTATTTCCCGCATGTGATATAGATGCTCACCTGTTGTGGGAATGTTTTCTGTAAATCGTGTGTTTTGTTTTTTGTTTTTTTTGGGTTTTCGAGACAGGGTTTCTCTGTATTGTTTTGGAGGCTGTCCTGGAACTCACTCTGTAGACCAGGCTGGCCTCGAACTCACAGAGATCCGCCTGTCCCTGCCTCCCGAGTGCTGGGATTAAAGGTGTGCGCCACCAACGCCTGGCTTTTTTTTTTTAGTTTTTAATTCAGTTGTGTGTGTGTTCTGTATTGTCAGTCTGTCCATCTCCCCATCCCCCACCCTCACCTCCCCCATCCTCACCCTCCAGACAGGGTCTCATTATAAAGTGCTGACTGTCCTGGAACTCATTACGTAGACCAGACTAGACTTGAACTCAGAGACCCACCTGCCTCTGCCTCCTTAGTGTTGGGATTAAAGGTGTGCATCTCCATTGTCCAGCCCTAGCAGTTATTAACTGCTGGGTCATCTCTCTGATCACTGGTTTAAATAAATGTATTTGTTTAATATGTGTGAATGTTTTGCCTGTGTGTATATATGCATCATGTATGTATTTGGTCAGAAGAGAGTATTGGATCCCCTAAAACAGGGGTTACAGATGGTTGTGGGTGCTAGGAATCAAACCCAGGTCCTCTAAAAGAGCAACAAGTGCTGAACCATCTTTTAGCTCTGGCGTTTTGTTTTATTTTGTTTTGAGACAGGACCTCACTATATAGCTCTGGCTGTCCTGGAACTATGTAGACCAGGCTGACCTTGAACTCACAGAGATCTTCCTGCCTCCATCTCCCAAATGGCGTGTGATGCCATGCCCAGCTTTTGATTGTCTTTGTTTCTGTATAATTCTTACCTCTTCAACCAGTATCTTTCCTATTTGTGGGGAGCAGAGGAAGCCCTGAGTGAATGTGTGTTGTTGACATGAACTGGCCATGTTATGGACCCTGGCCTCAGACCTATGGGGAAATGGCTGGTGCAGCGCGTGCACACGCGCGCGCACACACACACACACACACACACACACACACACACCCAGGGTGAGGCTAAGAGGGATGGTAGATCCCTCCTCTAGTCCATGTGTAGATGTTGACAGTATATGCAGAAAATGCCCACCATTGCTCCCTCTGGATATTCATAGTCTGAAGACTGCTGCTCTACAGAGATTTCTCCTACTAATGGTAGCTAAACCTGCCTTCTTGTTCAGCTGTATATAATAATAGCCCCGCCTCCTTTTCAGCTGTGTATAATAACCCACCTCCTTGTCCAACTGTGTATAATAACCCTGCCTCCTTGTTCAGCTGTGTATAATAACCCCGCCTCCTTTTCAGCTGTGTATAATAACCCACCTCCTTTTCAGCTGTGTATAATAACCCCGCCTCCTTGTTCGGCTGTGTATAATAACCCCGCCTCCTTGTTCGGCTGTGTATAGTAACCCCGCCTCCTTGTTCAGCTGTGTATAATAACCCACCCTTTTAGTCAATACAGTTCCCTCGGCTGTCTTTTAAACCATATGCAATAAACACACAGAGCCTCTGGGTGTCGCAGTTCTCCGTCAGAGAGCCCAGTCCACCAGTGCCAGCTTCTTAGCTTCTCTGTGTTCCCGTGTCTGGGCTCCCCTGCTACCAGTAAGGTCAAGTTCCTGGAGCCATGCAAGGACATGATACCGGTTCTGTCTAGCATATCTCTGTGATCCTTTTAGAATGTTGGCACAAGTTCTCTTCCGTGTTTCCTTACCTCCCCCTCCCCCATTCAATGCTGCATTGTGAGTGAATTCCAAGCCTCTAATTAAATCAACTCCATTTGTAGTATTGGTCACCCTATGTGTGGTCATTTTTATTTCAACAGTTTTATTATTTTTGAATTTATTTAGGGTGTGTGGGGTGTTGGGTATGAGTTCAGAGGACACTTGCTAGAGTCAATTTTCTCCTACTGTGTAGGTATAGGGATTGAACTCAGTTCGTCAGGCTTGGTGGCAGGCACCTTACCTGCTGAGCCATCTCACTGGTCCCCAATCAGCTGTTTGTTTGTTTCAAGCCAGGGTTTCTCTGTGTAACAGTTCTGGCTGTCCTGGAACTGGCTCTGTACACCAAGCTGGCCTCTAACTCAGAAATCCACCTGCCTCTGCCTCCTGACTACTGGGCTTAAAGGCGAGTGTCCCCACCGCTGGCTAGCCCTGGACCAGCTTTTATGGCAGATGCAGATTATAACAATTCTTAGCATGGGATTGATGAACGCTTGCTTCCTGGGGTAATGTAGGGATAGGGTCCCACGCTCTAACTTATAGATGTAAAAACTCTAGTCGCAAAGTAGAAGAAATTCTTAAGAAAGAAAGAAGAAAACTCCCATCATGCCGCACTGCTTAGTGCTTTGATTGGCTCCCTGCAGGCATCTGGTCGGCAGCCCTGAATGGAGACCTGGGCCGAGTGAAGCATTTCATCCAGAAGGCCACGGACCCTAGCCAGCCTGACTCTGCTGGCTACACTGCACTGGTGAGCTCTGGGGGAAAGGCTTTATCTTCGGGCCGCCTGCTCTCTGCCTCTTACTTCAGCAAGACCCTTTAGTGTGTGTTAGCGTGTGTGGAGATCAGAGGACAGCCTTTAGTGTGTGTTAGCGTGTGTGGAGATCAGAGGACAGCCTTTAGTGTGTGTTAGCGTGTGTGGAGATCAGAGGACAGCCTTTAGTGTGTGTTAGCGTGTGTGGAGATCAGAGGACAGCCTTTAGTGTGTGTTAGCGTGTGTGGAGATCAGAGGACAGCCTTTAGTGTGTGTTAGCGTGTGTGGAGATCAGAGGACAGCCTTTGGGAGTTGCTTCATTCCTTCCACTGAGTGGAAGGGGGTAGAACTTAGATCAGCAGACTTGGTAGTGAGTACTTTTAGCCAGTGAGTCATCTCACCAGCTCTTGGGATTTTTGTTTTTGTAAGGGTTCACTCTGTGGCCCAGGCTGTCCTTGGAGTTCATTCCTGCCTCTCCCTGAGATTACAGCCATGTGCCAGCTCACCTCGCTTTAAAGTTTGTTGTTTTGTCTTTTGAAACAGGCTCTCACATAGCCCAGATTAGCCTCAACTTGCTGTGTGTGGCAGGTGACTCTAATCCTCCTGCCTCCTCCCAAGTGCTGGGATTACAGACAAAGGCTTGTACCGCTGTGACTGACAAGCAGGCGCCCACCTACACTGTATCCGCAGCCACCCCTCCCCTTTTTATTTTGGCAGCATCACGAGCAGCTGGGTGTTTTAATTAGTGGAGGAGCACAGTGTCTCTGAGCTGGTGCCGGGCCCGCCCCTTGCTGGAGAGCCCTTGCTTTTAGCATCCTAGTGACCTTGTCACCTGCCAGGACTTTGTTATCTGACTTCAGTCTCTGCCCCCGCAGCACTACGCTAGCCGCAATGGGCACTATGCTGTTTGCCAGTTTCTGCTGGAAAGTGGAGCAAAGTGTGATGCCCAGACCCACGGGGGTGCCACAGCTTTACACCGGGCCAGCTACTGTGGGCACACAGAAATTGCACGATTACTGCTGTCCCACGGGTGCGACCCCCGCTTGGTCGATGACGATGGCATGACTAGTCTACATAAGGTATGTCCCTGTCTCCATCTCCATCATACTTTTTTTTCCTTAGTCGTATATTAGCTACTTTTCTTGTTACTTTCCTGTGGCAAAATTGTTTTGTTTTGTTTGTTTGTTTTTGGTTTTGTTTTTGTTTTTTGAAGCACTGTCTCTCTGTGTAGCCCTGGCTGTCCTAGAACTCACTATTTAGACCAGACTGGCCTTGAACTCACAGACATCCACATGCCTTTGCCTCCCGATGACTGGAATTAAAGGCATGTGCCACCACACCCATGTGATAAAATTAACAGAAGCAACTTAAGGAAGGGTTTATACTGGATCGCAGTTCAGGGGGGCGGATACAGTCCATCACGGCAAGTAGGCAACAGCTGTAGGAGGCTAGGAGCAGGAGGCAGCTGGCCACAAGATATGTGTGTTAGCGTGGGCTAACCTGGAACTAGGAGCAGGAGGCAGCTGGCCACAAGATGTGTGTTAGTGTGGGCTAACCTGGAACTAGGAGCAGGAGGCAGCTGGCCACAAGATGTGTGTTAGCGTGGGCTAACCTGGAACTAGGAGCAGGAGGCAGCTGGCCACAAGATGTGTGTTAGCGTGGGCTAACCTGGAACTATAGCAGACCAGGCCATTCTCAGCATGTGGCAGTCCTTCTGGCCTTGTCTTTGAGAATTGGTTTTAAGCATGCAACACCACACCCAGCTTCCCCCCCCCCCAATTAGGTCTTACTTCTACCCTTCTTTCTGCGCTGCAGTTTACGTATAAACTCTGTAGAACCTTCTGGTCCCCAGACATCCCCAGCTGTTCATGCCCTGCACTTGACTTCCAGACTCCTGGTATGTTGGTTATTTTTATGCCACCTTGACATGAACTCTACTCATTTGGGGAGATGGGCCTCTCTCAACTGAGAAAATGCCTCCATAAGATTGTGTGGGCGAGCCTGTAATGCATTTTTTTGATTAATGATTGACGATGTTGAGCTCACCTCACAAGGGGCTGTGCCACCCCTGGCAGGTTATCCTGGATAGTATAAGAAGGCAGGCCAGGGGCTGGAGAGAGAGGTCAGTGGTTAAGAGGACTGGATGCTCTTAGAGAGGACCTGGGTTCAATTCCCAGTACCCACAAACCATTTGGAACTCTATTTCAGTGAATCTGACTCCCTACATGCAAGCAAAACACACACACACACACACACACACACACACACACACACACACACACACACACACAAATCTTAAAAAAGCAAAAGCCAGGCATGGTGGCCATGCATTTAATCCAATCACTTGGGAGGCAGAAGCTGGTGGATCTCTGGGTTCGAGACCAGCCTGGTCTACAGAGCAAGTTCTTAGGATAGTTAAGATTACATAAAGAAACCCTATCTCAAAAGAAGCACCAAAAAATAAAAAAATAAAAAATGGGCAGGCTGAGCAAGCCATGAGGAGAAAGTCAGTAAGCGGCATCCCTCCCTCCCTGGCTTCCGCTTCAATTTCTGCCTCCAAGTCCCTGCTCCAACTTCCCTTCATGGTAAGCAGCAGCCAGCACTAGAATACAGCCGTTCCTCCCCAAGCTGCATTTGGTCCTGGTGCTCTGTCACAGCAATAGAAATCTTCCTAAGACACCTGTTCATTTCCAGATTCTGTTTGAGGTCTGCCTCACCAGAGGCAGCAGCTGGGGCTGGCTTTGTTGTGTATGCAACCTTAGCACACGCCACAGGTGCTGAGAGAACAGCTGCATGTTGGGTTTGTTAAATCCTTGACAGGTGTAGAAGCTCGACTCTTTACACTAAAAATACTTACTAATAACTGGGTGGTGATGGACATTTTAATCCCAGCACTCAGGAGGCAGAGGCAAGAGGGTTTTTCTGAGTTCAAGGCCAACCTGGTAAACAGAGTGAGTTCCAGGCAGCCCAGGGCTACACAGAGGATGTAAGTTCAGTTCCTAGCTCACAACCACTTGTAACTCCTGCTCTAGGGAATCTGCTGCCGTCTTTTGACCTTTGCAGGCATTTGTACACACCTCCACATACCCCCTCACATACACATAATTTAAAAACTATGATTTATCTGTGTATATGTATGTTTGCACATACTTAAGTGCTGATGTACATGCCTGTGCCTGCACACAGACTCCAGAAATAGGCATTGGACATTCTACTCTATCCATCCCTGCCTTTTCTGTGAGATAAGTGTCTCTTCCTGAAAGCGGGGCACAAGTTGTCTCATCTAGGCTGAAAGCCAGCAAGCCTCAGAGATTCTCTTGTCTTTACTCGCCTCAGTTCGGGGGTTATGGGCAGTTGTGGGACAGCTAAAAAAAAAAAAAACCCAGAATGATTACTGGAAAAGGATATTAAAAACAATTCAGGCTAAGCTGTGGGGTGGAGGGTGTATATGGAGGCACATACCTGTAATCCTAATCCTAGACCCTAGGAGGCCAAGGCAGGAGATTGTGAGTTTGAGGCTAGCTTGAACTACATAGTGAGGGACTATCTCAAAAAGCAAAAACAACAACAAAAATAAAACAATAATAACAAAGTAAGAGGTCAGGAGTGGTGGTGCATGCCTTTGATTCCAGCATTCAGAAGGCTGAGGCAGGCGGACTTCGGGGATTACATAGCTTGATAGTGCACTTCAGGCCAGCCAGGGCGACATAGTGAAACTCTGTCTCAAAAAAGAGGAAATATAAGTAACATAGTGAGACCCTGTCTCAAAAGGCAAAAAGTGGGCATGTACTCAGTGGCGGAGTGCTTGTGTGACATGCACAAAGACCCAAACATGGCTGCTCATACCTGTAATTCCAGCACATGGAAGGCAGAGGCGGGAGAGTTGCCAAAAGTTCCAGGCCAGTCTGGTCTACATAGAGAGTTCCAGAACAGCTAAGTAGAACCAAAACTGATATTGATTATCTGCCCAAACAGCCCAGGTGCTTCACAGCTCTGTGTATACGGCATGGGGCTTTACAGATCTGTGTATACGGCATGGGGCTTCACAGCTCTGTGTATACGGCATGGGGCTTTACAGATCTGTGTATACGGCATGGGGCTTCACAGCTCTGTGTATACGGCATGGGGCTTTGGTAGGAATTTGGAAGTCTGCTTACACATCTGAGGTTCCTGTTTCTTGGAAACGTTTTTAAGCAGGTCCCCCAAGAGGGGGACGAGTTCAGGGCTCAGCTCGGGTGTGTCTTTTGATTCAGGCCTCTCTCTCCACAGGCTGCAGAGAAGGGTCACGAGGACATTTGTTCCCTCCTGTTACAACACAGCCCAGCCCTGAAGGCTGTCCGGGATCGCAAAGCACGCCTAGCATGTGACCTGCTGCCCTGCAACAGTGGCCTGCGGGACCTGTTGGCCAGCTGAGGCTCTACCTCCTGCCTCTGCCCTTGAAGGGTACACAGACCGCTCTCCACACCCCTGCCTTGCTCAGCATCATGCTGTTGGATGGGACCAGGGCCAAAATGCCCAGAAGAGCCCCCGTCTGGCCAGTATGGGAGCCAGTAGGGAGGCTTGGGAAGGCTTGAAGGCTGTGAGCCTGGACAGGTGATCATATAAGTTAGTCCTGGTAGAAACAACTATCCATTTGGAAGGATTCTATATCTTGAAATTTATCTTTGTCTGTGGGATGATGTCAGGATATAAGCTTTATTTTCTTCCAAATGGATAGTTGGAACAATTGTAACTTTATCAAATTGTAAATCTAAGTCACATGCGGGTTACCCTTGTAACAGACGAAGGCTGGTAGAATGTTATGGCCCAGATCTGGTGATGGGTACGGTGATGGAGAGGCGCTATGTCAATGGGGGTCCTGGAAATGGTGGCAGTGGCGGTAGGCATTCTGGCTTTATGCCGGGCTCAAACGTGCCTTGTTCCAGAGGCAAGAGATCCGTAACCAAGTATTGCTTAGCCTAGCCCATGGCAATCCCAATAGCCATGAAGGTTGGTTACAGATGATTTAAAGTTGGGGTGCTCTGATGACGGGCCACCTGTGGGGAAGACCCCTCCCGCCTAAGACAGGGGTTCAAGGTCCCCCAAGGACGGGAAAGGGAGGGTGACCCTACTTGACCTAAGCCAGGAGTGCCTCATTTAAAAATAAAAAGGGGTGAATTGTGGGAACACCAGACCTTGAGCAGAGACCCACTTCCCCTTCTGCCTGGGAGTAGGCAGCTGTAAGACAATGTTTACTAAAAACAATACAATGCCTGGGGGCATTAAGTTCCTGGAAAAGGCCTGCCCGCAGAAACCACCCTGAGCTCCACCTTGTCCAGAGACTAACCGCCTCTTCTGCCACGCTCAGATCAGTTTCTGGGGTCAGAGCAGAACCAGCCAGGGGAGAGGAGAGAGCAGAAGCTTCTCTGGTGGGAGCTTTCTTAGGAAGTTTTCTTGAACCTTTTTGGAGCCTGCTTAAAGTTTTCTTTACATCGTTGAACGAGTCTCTGTGTTGTCAATCCCCGACACCCTCCGCACGTTCTCGGACACAGGCCGCGCAGCAGACGCGACAGAAGTTCGTGGAGGGCACGCTAGTGAGTGAGCTACATTATAATATTGGAGAGTGCAGGCCTGAAACAGCTGCTCAGGAGGCTGAGGCCTGCCTGGGCTACAGGGAATTCAAGGCCAGCCTGGGCAACATAGACCCCGCCCATCTTAAAAGGTAAAAAGAGGGGATGAGTGCTTGCCTGACATGCAGAAGCCCTATGTAACACGATGGGGAGAAACGGTGCTCAGTCCCAAAGTCTAACTGATACTGGCTTTTCTTCCAGAATTTCTATTCTAGAAGTCTGATTGTACAAAGTGTAACTATTCCGGGTGTGGTTGCACACACCTTTAGTCATGGTACCCAAGGGAAGAGGATCTCTTAGAGCTCCAGAGACCCTGTCTCCAAAAACCATGGAATTATAATTGCTTTTTTGTTTGGTTTGCACTGCTTACTAGTGAGACTGCATACCTGTCTCTGACCTTCCTATTTATGCCTATGTAAAATGTTTTTGTTCTTGCTGTGTAGTCTAGGCAAGCCTCCAAAGTGGAGCCATCCTCTGGCCTCAGCCTCCTTGCCATTATAGGTATGTCACCACATGGAGCTTGCCATGTCTTCATGGATATATATAGAGAAATGTGTATGATACATGCATTTAATATATGTATATTAAAATTTCCTTTTGCACTACCATGTGCCTTAAGTTTGGCTGGCTTCTGGTCATGAAAACTGGTACACACACCTTAGATGGCAATTCAGCAATGCTTAAGTGAACAGAGCCAATAGTTTTGATTATCTGTAGCAGCCTAGGAAGATTCATCCTCATTTACAAGCCCTGCACTGGGGCACGAGGCCTTGGGCTCCCCCGCACTGACAGAACAAGAGACGCATCAAAATGTAGTGTATATTTAAAAAGAGCACCAGGCATGGCAGCTGACATGTAACCCCTTCCTGCCAGGGAACAGGCCAGTTTGTCTTTTCTCTCAGTAGGTCAGTTCTTACGCTGTCTCCCTCCCTCTTCTCTCTCTCTCTCTCTCTCTCTCTCTCTCTCTCTCTCTCTCTCTCTCTCTCTCTCTCTCTCTCTCTCTCTCTCTCTCTCTCTCCCTCCCTCCCTCCCTCCCTCCCTCCCTCCCTCCCTCCCCCTAGCTCAGGCTTCTAACTGCCTGACTATCCTGGAACTCACTCTGTAGACCTGACTGGTCTCGAACTCAGAGATCCGCCTGCCTCTGCCTCCTGAGTGCTGGGATTGGCTGTTCCCTTAAGTTCTCTGGGAACGGCATATCTGAGGGCAGCATGGACAACGGGCGCTCTGGCAACCCTCTGTGGTCTCTGGTCCTTCCAGCCGCGTTGCTCCTGTGATTCTTTGGTTCTCTCTGTCCATGTTGCTCTCAAGCAGGAGTCTTGTTTACTAGGTATCTGATTTCCTTTCAAAGGTCAAGTTGGAATTTAGGGCACAGCAGAGTGAAAAGCGTCCCTGGCTTGTGAAGAATTAGGAATTTGATTTTGTTGGCCGCTTTGTGACTGGCTGTCATGGTTATTGCTACAGACAGGGTCCTGGAGTGGGTCTCAGTCCCCTTGCCCTGTTGAAGGGCATGTCTCATGCCCAGGGAGTATCTGGTGTGGATGTGGAAGGCTTCACCGGCCCTCGTAGGGCTGATGACAGACTGAGGCAGAACACCACGTTGGCTGTCAGCCTGCTGGGGGACGAGTCTGGGGGGAAGGGCAGCCCTGAAACTAGCCAGTTGGGAAATCATATGAAGCCTAGTTTCATCATGCAGGTCCAGGAGAATTCCCAAGGCATTAGGTCAGCCTCTTCCATTGTCCCTCCTGAGGTCTTCTGTAGGATGCCTGCCTTGTGCAGGGGTGAATGCACTGGTCTCTTCAGTATCTTAGGCAGGCAGATCTCCATTGTAAGGCTGGGTTCCACCAGTGGGCTCTAAACTCAGAGGAGTAAGAAATGTTTTCCTTGGTGGTAAAGCGACTCCCTGGTAGATGTGGGGTGTGGCAGCTGCAGAGTAGTGGGTGTCTGAGGAGGTTGCAGACTCAGCTCCAAAAGCTCCTTTTCCTGCCCTCAGTGGGCCACATTCCCAGACCTTTATTTTGGTTAGTGTGACAGGGCCACAGAGTCATCTGGCCTGGCACAAGCTCTGTCCTTCTCCACCCCCACGAGAGAGCTCTCCCATAAAAGGGCTGAGCGCTCTGCTCACTTCGCTGGGTGTGTGGAGAGCAAGGGGGGACCATGGACTTCATCAGCATTCGGCAGTTGGTAAGGATGCGAGGCGGGTGACAGTGACGATTCAACGCAAGGTGCAGGTACCCAGATGATGGTCAAAGTAACAGTCTGGCTGAGGGCAGAACGCTGCTGTCTAGGATTTGAGGGTCAAATGGGGGGGAGGGGAGAGACAGCACGGTTCTTTCCTGCCCGGTTCTCATGTTAACGGGTGTCAAGAGAAAGAAGACAAACCAGGAAAAAACTGGGTGATCGTATATGGGAAAATCCTTGAGTTGAGGTTGTTTGCTTTTGGTGAGTTTGGTACTGGGAGACCATCTTGGGACTTCACACATGCTAAGTTAACACTCTACCACAGAGTTGCACCCCCAAGCTTCCAGGTGTGCCTTTGTCTGGATGGGGGAAAAGAAGGGAGTGGTGAGTTACTCTGGGAGCCATGGATATAGCTGTATAGTTCCTTTACGCCAAGCACAGGACAGTCTGCTCAGAACTGAGAGTAGTGTCCTTGGGTTCCCTGAGCAGTGAGATGAACGCCAATGCAGTGTCAGTTTGGGTGACGTAGGGCGTGGAGGGCAGGCAGCACATGGGCTTCACTGTGGTGCGGTGGTCCCAGCTGGCTCCTGGGAAGTGGATGGCGAAGCCCTGTCCAGGAGATATCAGATTGTTGAAGCTGCCGAGTTAGAGGGAAGCCCCGGCCATTTGGTCAGAAGCCTCAGACTCTTCTGTTCCTCTCTCCAGCACTCTCTTCCACAAGCTGCACCCTGGGTGGCCAAGGGACTGGGTGGGTATCAGCTGTGACCAGCCATAGAGGATGGTTTGAGCCCATTTTACAGAGGCAGAAGCATAGTTTCTCTACGACCCAAGTGCTGAAAGCAGGGATTTGGAATTTGGCCCAGGAACGTCTCTAAGCTTGGGTCAAGTAGCAGTGTGGCATGATGTCATAGGAATCTGCCTAGAAGTCCAGGTTGGAAACTAAGGTGTCATCTGTCTGAGCTCCCTGGCGTGAACTCAGTGGTAAAGATACCACCCTCCCTCAACTGTGATCTGCTACTGACAGGAAGTCATTCCCCTGTGCCTTGGCAATTGCCACGGTGAAAACTGCAGGTGTGTAGGGGTGTTTGTGCGCGCGCGTGTGCGAGCATATGCATGCGTGTTCACACCCCCCCCCAGCACATATGCCGGCATTACAGCCCACCAGGAAACATTCAACAAAGTCAGGCTGACTCTCAGGTTCACAACTGACCTTTGTCAGATCTCAGCCATAATGCTGGGCCACACTACTGATTCCCAAGCATCCCTCCAAGGTCCTGTTCCTTAGCCTACTCTACCTGTTGTGCAGGTAAGTGAAGAAAGAGCGGATAGGAAAGTGTTGGGGTTTGGACATGGAGTTCCTGATCCTGGAGGCTGGCCTAGTGACTGGAGGCTGGGACCCCAAGAGGCCGTGGCCCGGGAAAAACTGAAGTTGGAGGAAGAGAAGAAGAAGAAAGTAAGTGTCTTGGACTAGGGTTGGGGCAGTGTGGGTATGTATGAGCAGAAAGGGCCTAGAGCCCATGGCCACTGTCACCCAGCCGTGATGGCTGGGTGCTTCTTCCAGGCAGGATTAGTCTAGCCAGGAGCCTGCACTGAGACCCTACCCAGTGACTGATGTCTGGCTTGGGCATGTCTTCTGCCCTAGCTGGAAAGATTTAACAGCTCCAGACTGACTCTGGACAACATGAAAGACTTGGAAAACCTGGTTCAAAGACGAAGAAAAAAGCGACTGAGACACAAAGTCCCCCCCAGGGAACCTGAGCCCGTGGTTGAGGTGAGTGAGGTTAAGGCTGGTGTTCCAGAGGCACAGATAGCCTCCTGTCTTGGGGGCCTGGAAAGAATGGATCCTAGGTGCTGCCGCTGCTTAGTGCGTGGGAGCTGCGTGGAATGCATCCCAGAGCTTTCTGTTCCTTCCATAGGGCAATGCATTAGCTGCTTGTGGCAAAACTCCTGGCTCACTGTTCCAGAGTGTAGTTCACTGCTGTGGGGAAAGTATGGCAGTAGGAGCTTGAGGGAGCTGTCACACAGCAACCAAAGGCAGGAACAGGGAGGGGAGCTTGTTTTGTGTACCAGTGTTTGCCTGTATGTATGTGTACCGTGTACATGCCTCGTGGTCAGAGGTCAGAAGAAAGCATTATATGCCACATACAGATGGTTGTGAAGCAACATGTAGGTGCTGGGAATTGAACCTGGGTCTCTCCAGACCCCAATGCTCATTTCCTTGAGCTTGCTTCCTCCTTTTTCTTCAGCCTAGGACCCTATCGAATGGTTCCACCCACATTTAGAGTGGTTCATCTCAGCTAACCTAATCTATCTAATCTAGCTCTGATGTGCCCAAGGGCTTGTGTCCTACGTGATTCTAGATCCTGCCAAATTAACAGTGTCCCAGGCAAGCTGGCAGTAACCAAGTGCTGGCCACCAAGGACTTACCCAAACAGGTCATTCCAGTTTGTTCAGGAGCTAGATGTGTGCTGTCAGTAGGGCTGTCCTTCAGCATCCACTTACCTGCCCAGCTTCTGGGGCTGCAGACACATGACCCATCTCTACTTTCACTCAGGCTCTGTGCGCCTGCCTGTATCCAATGCCAGTTGTACCGGAAAGGGGCCTACCCCACTCTAACATAACTACAAATGCAACGACCGTTATTTCCAGAAAGATCATATTCTGAGATACTAGTATTAAGATTCAGCATATGAACTAGAGTATGGGAACAATCAGTGCACAACACACACTTCCCATTCATCTCCTGAGAATTGAAAAACTATAATCAAACAGGCCAAATGTGTTGGAACAGACTGGTAAAGCAGCAGTGGCAGGTGCCTTCGGGCTTGGGGAGTAACTTAGTTCTGTTCTGCTCACCCAGCCGCAGCCGCAGGTCCCAATGGAGCCCGTGGACCTGGAAATGTTCCTAAAGGCAGCTGCTGAGAACCAGGAGGCCTTGATTGACAAGTACCTGACAGATGGAGGGGACCCCAATGCCTGTGACAAGGTAAAGAGGGTGGGTGAATGCATTTGACACCTGTAGATGGCATCTTACACAGTCTAGCCTTCACTTGGGACACAGGGTAACTCTGACCCCTTCTAGGAACAGAAGGGGTTGGTGGCTCTAGGGAGTAGCTCTGCTTTCTTGGCCTAATTTTGTTTCTGTTCCCAGCTCCACCGCACAGCCTTGCACTGGGCCTGTCTGAAGGGCCACAGACAGTTGGTGACCAAGCTGCTGGCGGCAGGGGCTGCTGTAGAGGCACGGGACTTGGTGAGGAGATCATCCTGCACAGAGAATATGGTGACTCATCTAGCTAGGCCTTGCAACCCTGTGGTCACAATACCTTTATGCTCTGTGTTGCAGCTGGACAGGACACCTGTGTTCTGGGCCTGCCGTGGAGGACACCTGGACATCCTCAAACTGCTGCTTAACCAGGGAGCTCAGGTCAATGCCCAGGACAAGGTAAGGGGACTTTGGGTGGTAACCTGTTAGGGGCTGCCGTAGCATACGGGAAAAGATGTTCACCTTGGAAGGCACAGGTCTTTTGGATCGGGTGGCATGGCCAGCCCGGACCCAGCACTGCCCCCCACTTCTTCCTAGATCTGGAGCACCCCTCTCCATGTAGCAGTGCGCACAGGCCACTCTGACTGCCTGGAGCACCTCGTGGAGTGTGGCGCCCACATCAACGCACAGGACAAGGTGGGTGTTTGTGACTGAGCAGCCAGAGATGGCATCTGTCAGCCCCTCCTGCCTTGGGCCCGCAGCAGTGACTGGCTGGTCTCTCCACAGGAAGGGGACACAGCGCTCCATGAGGCTGTACGCTACGGGCACCACAAAGCCACGAAGCTACTGCTGCTCTACGGAGCCAAGCTGGGCATGAAGAATGTGGTGAGTACCAGCCGGGCAACGTCGGCCAGCTGTGCTGAGGGAAAGGGCGTCCCTGGGAGAGGAAGACTGACTCGGCACCCTGGTTCACAGGCTTCCCTGACACCGGTGCAGCTGGCTCGAGACTGGCAGCGGGGCATCCGGGAAGCACTACAGGCCCACGTGGGGCACCCCCGGACCCGGAGCTGATGACTAAGACCTGTGGGCCACTCACAGCCACCATTCCAGCCCACTCTCCCACCCGTTCATCTCTAACTGGTTCTCTGCCCCAGTCCCCGTTTGTTTCTGGCTTTGTACCCTTGGGCCTAAGGCAACAGGTAGAGCAGGTCCCCTGTGTTTTAGTGAGGGACACTGTGTTCCCCGCCAGGACTGGAGCAGAGGACCACATGGCAACAAGAAAGCGAACTGAGTCCAGACAAGGGCCAAGGTCAGAGCAGGAAGTGAACAGACCAGCACTACCCACAGCTGAGTCTTGGCCTCTGTCTACCAGCCCTTAGATTAGGAGATTGGCCTTGGCCTGTTCTCTAAGTAGAGATTCAGATGTGGCCAGTGGCTGCATCCAGGGTGGAAGAGAAGAAACAGGCTACCTAAGGGCCAGGCATTGGTGCAGCTCACTGCTGTCTTTTGGATGGAGTTTCTCCAGGGACTCCATTCCTGTCAGCAGCAACCCTGAGAGTGTTTGGAGTAGTTCTAGGCATCTCTAGTCTTCAGAACTCTGGAGGGGGGGGGGTTCTGGCAGGCTGAGGGGCATGTCAACAGGATTGAGGCCCCACAGAAGTTAGTACCTACCAGGTTGCCCCAGAAGCTGGAGACTGATGAACTGGAACTAGTGTCTCCCCGGGGGAAGCTCCACCTAAAGGCTTCGGGCAGCTCGGCTTGCCTTATGAGGGCAGAGTGCCAGGTGCTGGGGATTGCTTGTGGCCCACTCAACTTTTGGGGTGGCGGCCCGCAATCCTAGCTTACCAAGGTTCTAATGCCCCCTGGTACTGGAGGAAGCACCTGGACTAGGCTCTTCATGCCCTGTACAGAGCTCAGCCTCTTGCCATGGAACGCAGTGACAACAGTATACACACCTCTCCAGGCCCCTGCGCCACCTGGTGGTACGAGGACCTCACACAGGCACACCCCCCCCCAGCTTCACTGGTGTGGAGTATTACTGGCAGGGCTGGCTCCTTATATGCCAGGAAGCTGACTAAAGAGCTGGACCCTCCACTGAGGCCACAGGCTGAACGGAGGGCTAAAAGATGAAGGCGCTGCCTCCCTCACATACTCCCGAGCTGACATTCACTTTACTGCGACAGTTATTTTTAGTCTACTTTTGGCAGCCTGTTGTTACTATGTGAAAAACCTGGCTAGTGCTTCCTCCTAGGGACACAGTCCTTTCTATGGGCAGGCCAGTGTACACCCAGACAACCGGTGCCTGGGCAAGACAGACAGACATTCAAGACGACTCAATATGACAAGTCCTCTGAAATGAGGACACGTATACACACAGCTACCTTTTTGTACAAATCACTGTTTTCTCATTAAACTGGTTATCCACTGCAGCCCTGCTGTCTTATGGGACCTGGGAGGAAGCAGTATATTGGGCTACACGGCAAAAACCAACCCAAAGGCCTTGTCACCCTCAACTGCAAAGCTCAAGTCCACCAATTATGCCAACTGACAGCACGACATGTCACCAAGTGCGAGGCATAGTTTGTATATGTGCGCCCATGTGTGTATGTGTGTGTGGGGGGGTGTCCCTGGCACACGGCTCTTGTGTTCAGGACCTCTGCTCATTGACAGACAAGTTCAGAAAAGGGCAGTTTTCAACTTCAGCTTCTTTTACAATCGCTACAGTTTTGTAGAAGTCCTGATGCCTGCTGGGTATGGTGGCACTCAGGGACAGACCCATCTCTGAGTTCAAGGCCAGCCTGATCCACATATTGAGTTCCAGACCAGCCAGGGCACTACACAGCGGAAACCTTTTTTCAAAAGTCCCCACGTCTAAGGTTACTAGGTCAGAAGCCCTAAAGGTAAGATTAGTTGAGGACATGGTTGTCTATGCATACTAGCAAATTGTAAGGAATTATGGATAGGGGGTGGGAGATAAATACCTTGATATTAATAATCCAAAACCTCTAAGAGCACTGCTTGCTCTTCCAGGGGTCCTGAGTTTAACTCCCAGCAACCATATGGTGGCTCATAACCATCTACAATTCAATCTGGTGCCCTCCTCTGGCATGTAGGCAGAACACTGTATATGTGATAAATAAAATAAATCTTTATAAAAAATAATAATCCAAAACCTCAGGATACAATATAAACAAAAGCCTGTTTCTCCCTAATGCCAGTGAACATTATGGATACAAAAAATACAGTACTATTACAACTGTTTAAGTTTAATCTAAAAAAGATTGTAAGATGCTGAAGTCTACAAATGAAAATATCATACTATGTTCATGGATTAGAAGGCATAGCATGTAAAAGTCGTCAGCTCTTCCCAAGTTGACAACACACAGGCTTAATACAGTTCCTACCAAAATCCTAGCAAGGTGTAGACAAGATTATACTCTGTAGGCAAATGTATACCCCAAACAATTGCAGCACTTGGAAGGCCTCAGGAGGACTGTTTGCATGGAAGGTTAGGTTGAACATAATGTTAGACTCTTTTACCAAAAAAAAAAACAAACAAAAAAAAAACTGAGCTGACTGGGTTGGCAGTCAGGAGGCTGAGGCAGGAGGACCACAGGCTATACACTAAAACTATATACGAAAAAACGCCTAAATAAAATAAGGCAAGCATGTCACACAGTTGTAAATCCAGTACGTGGTAGGCTGAGGCAGGGGGACACAGTTTTTATCCTGGAACATACTCTGTAGACCAGGCTCGCCTTGAATTCAAAAGATCCACCTGCCTCTGAGTGCTAGGATTAAAGGCATCACCACCACACCCAGCCTGGGACCCTGTGAGAAAGTTAAGGGGTGGTGGGGGAGGAAAAGTAGGTTCAACTTCAGTGATCTAGAATGTAGTGGATACAGACTAATGTGACACAGTAGACAACTCAAAAACAGCCCCCCCCCCATACACCCAACAGACGAAGAGATGCCTTTTCAACATCCTTAGGCTAAACAAGTAAGGAGGGGAAGAAGCCAGAGAAGGGATATGAGTTTGAGGCCAGCCTGAGCCTAAAAACAACAAAAACCCTAAACACCAATAACAAAAGACAAACAAAAAAAACCAAACCAAACAAACAAACAGCCCTTGGGGCTGAAGAGATGACTGGGCAGTGAGGAGCACCAGCACTGACCACTCTTCCAAAGGACCTGGGTTAGATTCTCAGCACCTATATGGTGCATCACAACTGTAATTCCAGTTTGACGAAGGATCCAATGCCCACTGCAGGCACTAAACTAAGCATGTACGTGATGTACAGACCTACACGCAGGCAAGACACTCACATGCATAAATGTGTAACCCAAGCCTTACTTATAGAAACATTAACTAAAAATACATCAGGAGCTTTCATATAAAACATAAGCTATCAGGAAAAAAGACAACTTTTGCGATCTACAACAGTCAGACATGCTAAAAGCACAAAAGTTTGGAAAAACGAATTTAATCACAAGCCTTTGTTTCTTGTAAGACCCTGCTGTAAGAACACAGCCTGACTGTTAGTATTCCGTGACTGAGAACACAGCAGATGGGAAGCTCAAAGGAGCCTGTGGTTCCCTGGTCCGTGGGCCGTGTACATTACAAGGGAACACATGGCAGAGGCCTCCTCACCTCGGGGTCATCAGGGAGCAAAGGAAAGGAAGAGGCCAAGGCCCCAGTGACCTCAGCACTCACACGGGTCTTTGGGGCACATTTCAGATTAGACTACAGCACTACAGACTAAAATTTCTACAAACCAAAACTCCAATGAAGGATTTTAGAATCTGAATATATGAAGAGTCCTTAAGCAGGGAAAAGGGGAGGACAATGACGACAAAATGAAAACATGAGCAGATGAGTATGTAGTGCTGGATTTGATTAGTGACAGATGAGAAACACAGCTGGTTCTGTTGGTCACCTATCTAAATAGCTGAAGTACAAACAATGATCACTTGGAGGATATGAGAAACTGGGTCATTCCTACACTTCATGTAGGAACTGAAGTTGTACCCAGCTACTCCAAAAGGCCTGGCAGTTTCTCTTTAAAAGTAAACAACCTAGCTACGGTACTCCTGACACATCCCCCAGAGTCAACACCAATCTTCACACTGAAATCTGTACAAGAATGTTCATAGCAGCTTTATTTGGAAAAGGCCAAAAACTGGAAACAACCCAGGTGTCCTTTGACAGGACAATGAATACACCATGGAATACCACTTGGCAAGAAAAGGGAACAAACTACCGACACAATGACCTGGATCAATCCCAGAGAAGAAGTCAACCCCAAATGGCCACACACTGCACAACCCCTCAAACAACATTCTTGAAATGACAACGCAACAGAGATAAGGAACAGTCTAGCAGTTACCAAGGCTTAGTAATGGGGCAGGTGTCTCTGAGTGGCAGTCCAGGGGGAACCCTGGTAGTGACAGGACGTGGGTTAGACTTGGGTAGCAGTTACTCAGGTCCATGTAGGGGCCAGGTACCATCTGCACCACTCCAGGCTTTGAGATGACATTATAGTTTGTGACACAGGACCACTGAGGAAAACCAGATAAGGGATGCATGGACTCTGCATCTTTGTAATTGTATGAATCTGCAATTACTATAAAATACAAAGGTAAAAAGGAAAACAATAGCTGTTAAGTGCATTTTGGCATCCTACCTTGACATTACCAGAAAAATTCAAATCAAGCCTCCAGTTAAATAGTATGGCACCGATGTTAACATTTTAATTTTGATAAATGTAACAAGGTTATTTAACACGTTAACGTTAGGGGAAGCTGAGAAAAGGGCACATGGAACTCTTCTATGGATCTAAACCTATCTCAAGACCATAACCCTGGTGTTCAAGGTGACTAAATCAGATGTCCCAGAAGGGCCTAAGTCTCGAAGCTCTAATTTGCCAGGTGATTCTGAGGTGCAGCCAAAATTCAGAATTCTGTTCTGGAGAGAAATGATTTGCCTCCAACCTGAGTTTGTTATTAGAGCATATTCCTTGGGAATATTTCTCAGCAAGCATGACACTGTTCTCTTGCCCTGCAAGTCTCACTTACCAGGACCCACATTCTTTTGAGGAAAGTTCCAGAAATCCTCCCTTCCCACCCCAATCTATGTCCCAGAGCTGAAACTGTGGAAGGAAAATGTAGGTAAAGTAGGAGAGAAAACCAGTGCTTTCCATCCCTGCACCTCTACAGCAGTGTCACTGGAAACAGCAATATTTCAGATATAAGAAAACCTCAACTTCTCAGCAGGTGACAAGGAGGTTCCAGGTTTACAAACAACCCTCCCTGTGCTGCTCTCTACACGACATAGCTGCACATCTCCCCAGAGGCTTGGACACAAATACGAGGCAGGTACCCAACCCTGACTTTCGGTTTCCCACCCATGACCCGGCAGGCGGAAGAGAGACACAAGCTGATGACCGGCCATGCTGGGCAGGCTTCCCGTGTCACTGGGCGGCCTGCTCATGACTTCAGAAGGAGCCAGAGAAGCTACCTCCTGTGGAGGGAGCAGGACTAGGCACAGACTTATTGGGGAACCGTGCTTTTAGATTTGGCACATGAAAAAAAAAAACTGGAGTGCATGAATGAAAATATGGCATTGTAAGGGAAGCCAAAAAGTGCATGACAGGGTCATAGATTTGAATCTTCATTTACAGCCAGCACTCTTGGTTTGCTCATAAAGTGAACCAGCAACAGAGGGTTGGCCAATCAAAAGCAAAGGGAGACAGGCCAAGGCCATGTAAAGGCAGTAACTGCACCCATCCATGTGGCACCTGGTTCAGGGAGGTACAGACACTGCTGTGACAGTCGCAGGGGACAAGCTGGACCCTGGGACTAGAGATGATGCTGTTCCTTTCATCCCCCCAGAAACAGGCTTCTACTGGAGGACCACTCTGCCAATCCCATCTCCTAAGGGAAGGCAGGGCCAGCTGAAGGCTCTAGCACTCAGGAGGCCCAGGACCCACATCTTATAATGGCCATCTAAAACGTGGCCAGAATAGGTTGGGGATAGGCTGGCATGACGCTCCTGCTTAGCTCTCCCCAGCTCCCCACACGCTTGTCCATTTCCAGCTCGGGGCTGCCTGGCAAGCAGTCACACTCCTGGGTTCTGCCCAGGGCTCGCCTCCACTGGGACGCCAGGTCTGCTGTTGCTGGACCCTAAGGAGAGGGGAAAAAGAGAATGGTATTCACACTACTCAAGGGAGAAGGCTCTAGCAAAACCAAGTACTGAACTTTTAGGACACAGAAGAAGCAGCTTGGTCAGATGGGCCTTAGGACACCTCAGGAACCATCAAAGCACAGTCAGGAACATGGTCAGTAGGTCTTAAGAGACCCACTCCAAGGGCAGATGCTACCCATGAAGGACAAAGATGGACTATTGTTTTTTTTTTTGTCACTGGTTTTGTGGGTCAGCCCCGCCCCCTTCTTTGGGGCAGCAGGGTTGAGACAGGACCTTGTGAAGTCCAGGCTGACCTTGAATGCCACATCCTCCTACCTCTACTTCCCAAGAACTAGTCTATAGGAGTGTACTACCACAGCTGGCTTTTAAACTTATTTATTTCATTTTTCAGAGGGAGTCAGCTTTTCTTACATTTCTTCTGGTGTGTGCATGTAAATGTGTGAGGGTTATGCAGATGTCATGACGTGCATGGAGGTCAGAGGACAACCTGTGGGACTCAGTTCTTACCTTCTACCACACAGGTCCTGGGGACTGAGCCTGGGTCATCAGGCTTGGTGGCAAGCATCCTGACTCATATAGCCACACTGCCAGCCCTTATTTTGTTTTGAGACAAAGTCTTGCTGGCTGGCTTGGAATTCACCATGCAGTGAAGAGTGACCTCAAACTCAAGGCAGTTCTCTTGTCTCATCCTCTGGAGTGCGGAGACTATAGGTCTAAGCCATAGTACCCAGTAGGTGCTATATATTTCTGACTCCAGGGGGCTTAGGCAGCTATGCTGGGCAAAAAGAAACTTCCCTGGATCATCAAGAGCCCCTGTGCTACAAGGAAGACTTATGTTCCAGGAATAAACAAGTTGTGTCCTGACCCCTTGTCTTCTAGAAAAAGTAAATACTAGAAACATAAAATACAGTACCCCTCCCAACTCACCCCCACCTAGAGAACGCACTCCTACCTGGGGGAAGCTGTCTATAGTCCCTACCAACAGCTAAAGGATGGGAAAAGTAAACCAAAGAAAAAGGAAACAGATATTTACCTTGGTGTTTTCTTAAAACAAAAAATGCTCACTAGTCCACAGTCATTTATCAACTGCAGTTTCCAAATGTGCCAAAGAGGGAAAGGTCTACTGGGAAGGCTGAAGAGAGTGGAGAGAAGAGAGAAGAGGAAACACACTATTGAGTGGCAGCGGGCCTCAGCTCCTCAGCACCACGCGGAAGGCTGGGGAGGGCTCTGTGCTACACAGGTCTTGCTAGGGACCACAGAGGAAGTCACCAATCACAGGGATGCAAGGGTGAGGAGTCCCAGGAGCAGAAAACTTTCAGTAAAGGGCCAAGAGTTTACATTTTACAAGTCACCTGTTAGGTCACCATTGCCACCCAGAGGCAGCCAGACAGCCAGCAACAAATGGGTGGACTCTAATAAAACCGTATTTATAAATTCTGGAACTTGGCCAAATCAGGCTCCCACACCACAGTTTGCTGATCCCTGATGTAGGGTTTTTGTTAGTGGATTTCTGAGACAGGGTTTCTCTGTGTAGCCCTGGCTGTCCTGGAACTCACTATGTAGACCAGGCTGGCCTAGTTCTACCTGCTCTGCTTCCTGAGTGGTGGGATTAAAGGTGGGCGCTGCCACCACCTGGCCCAATCACTGATGTAGGCAATTTAAAATTTTTGTACCTTCCAAATATTTCAACAAAAGCACTTTTCTGCCAGGGATTTAGTGCCCAAATCCACAGGGACTGAGTACTGAGTTTCCCTGTACTAGTTTAAACAGTGCTCACTGAAACCAGCACTATGCAGTAACCTTAAGCTCTTCAAGGACAGGGACAAACACAGGAAAACCTCAGAGTTAGTAAACATCAGGCCACACCTAAGTGAAAATTGGCAAGCAGAGGGTGGATAAACCATTATAAGGAAGAAAGAACCCACAAGCCACTGTAACTTACTCTTTTTATAGGATAGCCCAAAGAGTGGGCAAAGCCAAGAGAATTAAAAGTTCTGTAGAGACTAGGGAGCTGGAAAGATGGCTCAGAGGCTAAGAGCACTGGTAAGGTCCTGAGTTCAATTCCCAGCACCCACATAACAGCTCACAACCATCTGTAATGAGATCTGGTGCCCTCTTCTGGCATGCAGACAGAAGACTGTATACATAACAAGTCATTAAAAAACAAATTCTCTACAGAATAGAGGTACAGCTCAAATGGTAGAATGCTCGCCTAGTGTGTGCAAGGCTTTACGTCACCCCCAGCACATGGAAAGAAAGGAAAAAGCAGGGAAAGGAAAGAGGAGGAGGGAGTGAAGGGGGGACACGCGGATGGATGACAGAAGGTGGAAGGGGGGGAAGGAGAGAAAAATTCCTGGTGAAGACATGTTCCAAGGAGAGAACTATCAGTCCCAGCTCATATCTGTACCCTGAATACAGCCTATGCAATGTTAGTGGTTGGAGCCAGAAGACATTCATGTTTTTGAGATTTTGTTTGTTTGTTTGTCTTAAGACAGGGTTTCTCTGTATTGTTTTGGAGGCTGTCTTGAAACTCGCTCTGTAGACCAGGCTGGCCTCGAACTCAGAGATCCGCCTGCCTCTTCCTCCCGAGTGCTGGAATTAAAGGCATGGGTCAAGGGTTTCTGTCCTTTTTACCTTGTGTCACCTCTTGATTCAAAAAGCGACTTCTACTGTAAAAACGTGTTCGTTTCTGCCCCTAACCCAAGCACTTTTTTCTATACAACTTCACTATCCACATGTGCTGACCCAACTCCACAGCAAGTGCGCCTCTGAGCCAGGGCCAAGGAAAAGCCAGATCTCGATAAGTGGCCTGACCCGATCTTAAGTGGCCTGAGAGTTTCTAAACTGAACATCTCCCCACTTATCCAGACATAATTAAGCCACCTCTAAGAGGCCACGGAGAGAAAAGGGTGTCTGCTCTATTCTATTCTGAGTGCCACTTGATCGTGTAATCCAAGCTACTACAACAGCAAGAAGGGAAAGGATGGGCAGAGAAATAGGAAGATACAAGACAGGGGGAGCAGAAAACACAGGCAGCACAGTAGCGGGATTTCTCGTGAGCCCTGGGCCCCAACACTGCAGGATGTACCATGCGGGGCTCACCTGCTGTCTCGGTGGACTTGTCACCAAGAAGCCTGGTCTGGCTGCCTGGGATGGCCTGGAGCTCAGCATTCTCTGGGGATGGAGGCAAGCTTTGGGCTCGGGAAGCCAGGAGGGCATTAAGGTACTGCAGCCGTGTGACCTAGAGGATAAGAGAAGAAAGAAATTACCCAGTAGGTGCAATCTGTGAGATACATACAGCAGAGCTCCCTCCCACCTCTGGCTTGCACTAGACAGGCATGGCCTCTGAACTAGCGAAGCGCTGAAAGCCTTTAGCCATGTGGTTTTGTTTTAAGGTCAAGTGATTTTAAGATCTACAATGGAGAGATCAGGTATAAGGCCTCCAGATAGACCCAGACCCCAAGAGTCCAGGGAGAGGGGGAGGTACCACCATTCAGGGTGTGAGCCTGTGCCGAGTTCACTCTCCATCTTCAGTGACCAGCTAGACTAGTCTCCTTGGAGCACAAAGCCAGCTAAAGCAGCACCAATGTGCAGCTCAAACAGTCACCTTAATGAGCTGCAGGTCAGAAAGGGCCCTCACGGTGTAGTCAGGACAGTACGTGGAGGGGCGGCTACTCTCAGCTGGTTCAGGCAGTGGGTCATGGCGGATGAGCTGGCGTGAAGACACTGGGGACTGGTGAGCTACGAAAGAAATAATCAAAGACGGTGGGAGGCAATGGACAACTGCACAGCCTCTGGTGCTTAAGTCACCTTTGAGAGGGGATGGGCGGGAGCAGGGAAGACCATGAAGAAGCAATCTTGGAGCGTTTGCACACACTGAGTGGGCTACCAAGATAGACAAGGCAGAGATGCTGCTCTGCCCTCTACACTGCCTAGAGACAAGTCTTCTGTGGGACAGACACAGGCTCTTGGGAAGCCAGTATCCTGGGCACGCAGACCTGCTGCAACATCCAGAGTGTCAGAGGCAGGCAGCTGGCCACAACCCTCAGATCCAAAGGGGCCATGGCTTACCTGAAGATGGAGCTGCCAGGGCAGACACTCCATAGTATGTGAAGGCCCCGTTCTCAAACTTCAGGCCCTCTTTCCCAATTTCCACCTCGACCCTGCCCTGCGAGGAAGACAGAGGTGGACAGGTTATCTCTCCATCGTAACAGTATAGCAGGAACCTCTGCCCCAATTGTTTAAGGGTGGCTGTCTGGGTCGCTCTCTTTCCAGGTCTGGGCAACCATGGTTACCTGCAGGATGAGAATGAAGTAGTCCACCGGCTGGCTGCGCTGGTACAAGTAATGGTGTGCGGCCAGGCGGTTGCTCTCATCAAACTTCACCTCCTGGTTGACACTGGGATGCTTCAGCAGATGCAGCAAGACTTTCTCGGAGATTCGCAATGGGCTGAACACATCCACCTCTGCCCCACGGTGGGAGAAAGGGACAGTGTCCACTGGGGCCCAAATGGCCTGTCATCACACCTGCCTCCTGCTGCCTCCTGGGCTCTCCCAGTGGTCCCTGGGCTGCGGCAATCCACACAAGAGAGCCAAGCAGGGCATACAACATGGGCCAGATGAGGTTCCCAGAACACGCCTTATCAGGAGACTCCCACGAGCTCTGCAGAGGGAAGCAGATGCTCTTCGAGAGCCTCCAGCTCACTAGGAGCCAAGCTGGCATCTGGCCTGGGTGGTTTCTTGACCCTCTGGGTGGTGAGACCAGGGGCAAGGACCACCCTTCACCCTCACCTCGGGAAAGGAAGCGCTGGGTGGCCAGGAGCAGCTGAGGTGAGATTTTTACTTTATATTCATCATCAGACACCTTGAATAAGGAGAATTCCTCCTTCCGCTTGAGAGGGGTGCTCAGGGCAACAGTCTTCTTCCTCACCCTGGCGTCTGCACAGGCAGGGAAAAGATGGCATAAGCAGATGTTGGCACCCAATTATGAACACAAACAAGGTACTGTCACCTACTCCTTCCTCCCAAGACCCAGGGATTTCAGGGGAGACATCACCAGGGCCCCAAAGAAACATCTTCGGCACTGCTCCCTGCAAGACACAGAGCTGCCATGATCAGCACACAACAATCCCAGTGCCTAGGACAGAGGAGGCAATAGCACACATGCCATTTCCAGCCATGTCCAGAGGAAGTCTGGCTCTCCTGCAGGGGAAAATGCTGCTGTGGAGATCCTTCAGGGTACACGCGCTCAAAGAACGCCCACAGCAAATGGCAGCAGCTACCCTGGTGACCCTGCATCGGCTCACAAACAGAACCAAAGACAGGCATGGCATGGCAGGGTCCCAAGTAGCCATGTGAGGCCCCAGCTATTAAGCACGGGCTCTGAGTCTGCCCCACAGAGCTTTCTGATAACCTTAGAAGAAGAAGACACAATCAAAGGTACCACAACTGTCTGCTTCAGAAGACCTGCTCAATAGCTGGTCATAATGAATCCTTTTTTTTTTCTTTTCTTTTCGGAGACAGGGTAAACTATATATCCCATTGGCCAGAAGCTCAGAGATTTACATGCCTCTGCCTTGCTGAGATTAAAGGCATGTGGTTTGTTTGGTTTTTTTTTAAACCTACGATGTGCAGGTGACCAAATGCAGCTCCATTCAAGCTACACAAATACTCTACTACCGAGCTTCATATCCAGCTCAAAGAATGCATTAAGAAGCTATGCACAAAAGAATGTGGGTCAGCAAGAGCAGCAGAAAGGCACTGGCCTATCAAGGGCAGACACTCTGTCCAGTAATGGAGGGCTCTTACAACCCTCTGCTCACACAGGGGCCACAGAAGTCAACAATGGGACGGTCTGCATGGCTTGAATGGAGAGACAACACTGGCCCATACCACAGTAGGGAAGATAAGGTCTGGATGGAACTCTAGCCAGTTCTCAGCAGCATTAAGACCCACTGGTCTCTGAAACAGACACCCCTCAGGCTGCTGGAAGGGCTCTGAGTTAGAGAAAGGACAACAGTCAAACTCACGGTAGTCTTCAGACTCATCCAGGATCTCAGACCTGATGATCTCCTCAATGACGTCCTCCAGGGTGACCAGGCCCAGCACCTCGTAGAAGGGGTCACCCTCACCTTCATTGTTCACCCTCTGCACAATGGCCAGGTGGGACTTCCCTGTAGGAGGGGACACTTACTTGCAGTCTGCAGGCATCCTTAGGTTTCCTTGCACCAAAGGAAAGAAGATGCTTATACTTGCCACACCCTGTCCTCTGAGCACTAGCACGCAAGTGCCTCAACCTGCTACACAAGCACTCTACCCCTTCCCCGAGCTACATCCTCAGCCCTCTTCTTACACACACCCCCTTTGGCTTTTTGAGACAGGGTTTTTGTGAGTAGCCCTGGCTGTCCTGGAACTCCCTCTGTAGACTTGGCTAGCCTTGATCTCCCAGACATCCACCGGCCTCCGCTGGGATTAATGGTGGGTGCCACCACTGCCTGATGTGATTTTTTGCCTCATTCTCAGGAGTGTTGAGATCAAGTGTACAGCATGGTGCTTTGTTTTCCTCTTTTGCTTGTTACCCTCTGGCCTCTCTAGTGCTAAGAGGACAGACACGCATCCTCAGAGGTCCTCCCTGCCAGTCAGGGGTCCTCCAGAGGATGGGGCTGAGTAGGCATGGACATTTAGAATCCCATGTCAAGAGGAAGAGCTAGCATTGGACCATGCCAGCTTACTCCCAACTCTTCCTCATTCACTTTCCCACCTGGCTAATTTAGTAAGGACAGAAGAGCTTGAAAAAACCCAGCTCTTATAGGGTTGGCAAATGTTGGGGAAACTTCAGAAATTTATTTAGGGTCACATAAGTGTTTTCTATCTATAAAACTTTACATCTATTTGAAAGACGGAGTGTAAGCTATGAGTATAATTTAAAATGTTTCAGTAGCATTTTAAGACTGCATGTTATCCAATATAGCTAAAGTATCGTTTCAACATGTAACTAACATAAAAACACAACATATATTTTATACCTGTCTTTATATTCCATAACACATCCTTGAAACCTGGTGTATACATGCCTAACACTCACAGCATACCACAACCCAGAAAAGGGTCCACTCCAGGGCTCCAGAGCCACGGGTGGGTTAGAGGGTGGAGACAGGCAGGTCTGAAGCAAAGCAGTGAGAACGCACATTCTTATTACTAGTGAAAAAACCAGTCCAGACCCACATGAGGGCTATTGGAGAAATGTCCAAGCCTTTTGAACCATGACACATAACCAAATAAAGCATCTTTCTTCAGGAGGCTCTAAATGACCCAGGAAAAGATTAAAGTCTCCCAGAAGGAAAAGTTGCCCCCGACAACTGCCCATTCTGCTGAGTCAGAGGCACTGGGCCAAAGTGCCAGGTTTCTAAATTCCTTCCAGTCCTTGGTGATAGTGCTAGAATTGGCTCAAGCCAGCAGGCAGGTGCCATTTCCACAAGGGCTGCTCTGCCATGGAATAAACTTGTGAGGTCATGCAGGGAAGGTCAAGAGTGCAAGATGCAAGTTTTGGATTCTCAAACCCAAAGCTTGGGTTCTAAATAAAAGGCCACTCAGAGTAGAGAATCCACAATGTACTCCCTCCTCCCAAGAGTGAGCCCCTCTGGCATGCTACTTACTGGAAGGGATTAACCTCTCCTGTGCGCTAAAGCTGCTTTGAAAAAGACTCACAATTCTGTGACCTGTTGCACCAGGATGCTTCAATAACAAATTGGAGAATACCCTGGCCATATGAATACAAAAGACCATAAGACAGAGAGCTTGGAGGGACAGAAGGCCTTTTACAAGAAAATAGCAGGGGGACAAAAAGGGAGGCTGGAGGGATTAACACTTTGTCCCCAACTGGACAGGACTGAATACTACTTAGGGCAGACGCACAATCTGGCTAGGCCAGCTCCACAGAGCCATGGCAGGTGTGACTGGTGTGATCTCACAAATAACCACAAACTGGAAGGCTCTAGAATTTCATTCTTAGTTAGCAGGCTCAAAAGTGCTGCAATTATTTGGAGGCTGGAAGGCCTGTTCATGCCGCACCCCTGTGTGTGTGTGTGTGTGTGTGTGTGTGTGTGTGTGTGTGTGTGTGTGTGTGTGTGCTGGGGATAGAAACCACGGTCTTTCTCACTATTGCCAGAACTGACCTATGCCTCAAGCCCCCTTTGTTGTCTCCTAAAGCAATCATGTATGCACGCACATTGAGAAAAATCATGTGCCAACATTCCTCCCAGCAACTGGGCAAATCTGACTCATCTCAGCACCATGACAATCCTTGGCTTAACAGACAGTAAACCAGACCTCAAGCTCATGAAGGCAGAGGCTGAATGAAAAGCTCATCCCTAATCCTTCCTCTGCTTCAAGAGTCTCACGGGGCTGACAGGGAAGAAAGCTTTACAGAAAATACAAGTCACTAGAGCTCCAACACACTCTCCGTCAGGTGACTTGTGCACAAAATAATCCCCGGCAAGGGGCACCTCCCCCGCCAGTTTACCAAAGTCCCAACCTAATGGTGCTTGGAATGAGCACATGGACCAGAGCCCCAAAGGGTTATTTGACATGGTACCACAGACTCAAGCCCCAGAAAGACCAGAGGCACCACAGTCTCAGATGCTTGTGAGAGGGGAGAGAACCGACCTAAGAACTGTGACATCAGAAGACTGTAATTTGTTCTCAAGAGGAGAAAAGTATATAGAAGAGCTGGGACAAAAGGGACCCACATGAGGAAATGCAGGGTCGCAGAAGCCAAGGAAGCCCGTTCGCCACAGGACCCCACTGGATCTCCAGGTTATATATACCCAGCTTCTAGAAGGCACGTTACCGGGAAGCTTCTGGACTAGTCTATTTAAACAGAGGCATTCAGCCCCAAGCATCGGGATGCTTGACACCTTCCTGCTGAGTTCTCCAGAGGACACCCACCCCAAATCTGGAGCAACCACACCGTGGCCTGCTCTGTCTGTGTCATTTCCTTCTTGTTGACATGTCTAATGGAACCTGCTCTATTTTCCCCTCCTAAAACCCAAGAGCAGAGGGCTCCTCCCCTGCCACACATCCTCCAACCTTTGGTCCTCTGCTAGTCACTGCTTCCTGGGCTCTACTTCACAGCCACGCACAGTGAATGAAGACCATCCGCATTCATTCTCCCAGTTACTCCTCTGCCCAGACCCACAGATCAAGGGCAAAAACTCAGTGGCACAGTGTTTGACTAACATGTACATGGCTCTGGGTCACTTCCCTAGCACTTGGGAGGAAAGTCAGCCAGTCATCCTGATTGCTGACCTCTCTCAGAAGGTGGTCTGTTCTCTCAGCTCTCAGGACACCCTAAGCGTCTGGGTCCCTCTCACTTCCAGGGTCCAGCCTGTTCTCGGCATCCTTCCCAGCCCTAACATCCTGCAAGCTTTGTGTTCCCCAGGGCTTGGGTTCTCTGTGCCACTCCTGTAGCTCAGGAGTTAGATTACGTCTACACTGACATTCAGATCTTCACCTCCTCTTCAGTCTTTTGTTTGCAGTTCATATCAGCTGCCTGCTCGGAATCTGCTCCTTGGGACACAAATTCCAATGTAAGAAAACACTCACTTGCTGCTGGCTCCAGGCCTTACGGAAGCCAATGCTATCATACAGGAAGACACGTAGGCCTCCTCCAATACTACTACTACCTCTGGCCCCACAGCCCTAGCCAAACAGCAAATATCCTCTGTTCTACCTCCTAATGCCTCCCTGGTCACCTCCACAGGCCGATGTGGCACATTACCTGGGTTCCCCACACCATTGTTGTCCACATCAGCCACCGGTCAGTAAAAATCACTCAGAGGATCTGGGCGTAGGACACACCCAGCACTTTAGTCCTAGCACTTGGGTGGGCAGAAGCAGGCAGATAGGAGTTAAAGGCCAGTCAAGGCTACATAGTGAGACCCTGTCTCAAAAAACAAAGCCACCTAGTTCATAGCTCTACTGCTCAAACCCATGTCCACAATGCAATACACAATCATTCCACTCATCTTGCCTCTGTGAACATTCCTAAAAATAATTTGTTTTCATTTTATGTGTATTGGCGTTTTGCCTGAATGTATCTATCTATGTGAGGGTGTCAGATCCCCTGCAACTGGAGTTACAGGCAGCTGTGAGGGGCCATGTGGGAGCGGGGAAGTGAATCCAGGTCCTCTGAAAGGGCAATCAGTACCCTTAACTGCTGAGCCATCTCTGCAGCCCCGCCTCTGTGAACATTTTAACTAAATGAAAAGCAGCTCTCACCAACCTCATCCTGAACAGCGCTGCCAATTCCTAACGGACATTGCAGCATGCACCTCCCTCGCCCACTCCTCTTTCCCATCCCACGCGGTTTCAAATTCACAGTCCCTCCGCGCCTCTGTCCTCAGCTGGGACATCTTTCCTACTGACAGGTCAACCAGAAATTTGCTCTGGTAAGGCCTATGCCACCAACCTTGATGTGAGTGAACAATTTAAAGACCTTAGTAACAAGAGAGTTTGACACACCGGAGGGACAATGATGGTCTCTATATTTATTTCTCTCCTAAAGGACCTATCCTTCCAGGTTCACATTAAAGCCTAATTCACTTGGAGTGGACAAACACCCTCTCTCAGGAATGATGGTCACTAGACTAATGAGCTCACCAGACCTGAGTCTCTGTCTTTGATAAACTATCAGAGCAAGAGAGACTCAGCAGTCTTCCTATGACCTGGGAACTCAAAGCAGGCAGGGAAAGAACAGAACCCTGCTGGCGGGCTCTCACACCATGAGAAGTGTCTTGCTTTAGGGTGAGGAGCCCAGATGGACCCCACCCCAGAAAGAGGGCTGCAGGACCAAGTTCTAGGAAAAAAGCCAGGACACACTGGAGAGGTCCTCCAACAGACCATTCAAATTCATTCAAGCCTCCCATTCATGATCTACACATGGGTCTCCTGCAAAGACAAAGGGAGACTGGGCATGCAGAGTACCCGTCAGAGCTTGGCACACACTGCACTCAATACAAGAGTAGTGTGCTCATTACCCAGAGCTGCCTCTTACTGACTGTCCAGGGCTCACTGAGTCAACCTGGGGCCAGAAGATTTGCCCCTTGCCCAACTCAAGGGGTTTTGCTCCATCTGCCACTTCTTATCAAGCAACCTACTCCACCCAGAGCCCTGGTGTCTACCACCCCCACCCTCCAAGGAGGCATATCGGGGAGGAAAAGATCACGTAGGCTCTGGGAAGCACTGTAAGGATGAGGACAGAGTGCTATAGAGGAACTCGTATCTTTTTGGTTGTTGTTTTTGCCGCCCTAACCCCCAACAGGATTCCTCTGTGTAGCCCCGACTGTCCTCAAACCCAGAGATCCATCTGCCTCTGCCTCCCCAAATGCTGGGATTAAAGGTGCAGTCACCAACTCGCCTAGCATGTTAGCATTTGAAGAGCCTCATGGTTTCTACTTTCAACCTTGATAGATGGGACCTGGTTCCAGGCATCTGTGGTAAAGCACCGCCTGGGTTCAGTTCCCAGCACCCATGTAGCGCCCACAAGCACCCACAGCTCCAGTTCCAGGGGCACCAGACATGTACACAGTGTGCATACATATATGCAGGCAAAACACTAACATACGTAAGTAAATCCTAAAAAAAAAAAATTAAAAAGCTGCTTAAACAAACCAGTGAAAGGATTTGGTGAAAAATGTAGAGTTCAGGGAGACTCCCAGAGACCTTAGTGGAAATGGAAACAGGGGCGTGGCTCACAGGAAGAGCGCTTGTCTCGAAAGGATGAGGCCCTGAACTTCATTACTGGCACTTAAAAACAATTCAAGTGAAAGGGGGAAGCTGGGGAGATGGCTCAGCTGTTAAGAGCATCGGAGGACCCAGTACTCGGTTCCCAGCACCTACGGGGTGGCTAACAACCATCTGTGACTCCAGCCCCCTCTTCTGGTTTCCATAGAAACTGCATGCACATGGTACAGATATAACACGTGCAAACACTCATACACACACAAATAAAAATCTCAAAAAACAAAACAAAAAACTGTTAGGGGGAAAACAAGCCAGGAAGGGAAGTTTAGTCATTATTCATGACGTTGCTTTCAATGGCATTAAATGAAAGTCTTCTCTGTACCTGCATTAGAGTATTTGAGTCCTGCCTTGTCCTGACATCACAGGTCCAGGCAATTTAATGTTAAATAGGCGAAGTTGATGAATTGCAGTTATCTTTTTGACATCCTCTTAGTTACTATCCAAGACTCTGGGTGAGCTTGAAAGCCCAAGTGCACAGAAATGGCCCAGGAGAAAGAAACCTCTGGGGTTAGAGCCAAGTAGACACGCTGGCTGCCAATGGGGGGAAAAGGGTCGTGGGAGGCTTTTATTCCTTCATTCATTTTTGAGACAGACTCTTTAGCCCAGGTTGGCTTTCATCTTTCCAAGGAGGTAGGCCCACCACCTACTTAGTGATTCAGGGCTTTGTGTATGTTAGGCAAGCACTTTTTTTTTTAAGTAAACAGGGTCTTACTACATAACCCAGGCTGGCCCGGAACCACCCTCTAGTCCTCCTGCATCAGACTGACACAGCACTTCCTTCCTGCTTCTAAAAGACGATCTTTAAATATTTCCAAAACGTCACTCCCAGATTCAAGGCCATCACTTTCTGGAAAAGGTCAAGTCTTAGTGCCTTTTCCAGCAGAGTGAGACCCTTTCCACCTTACCTCGCTTAAACTCCTCCAGGACAGCGTCCAATTTGGTGTCGTTGAAGACGAAGTGGAGTGGATGGTTGTAGAAGCGAGTGATGGTGCTGAGCGGCGTGCAGTCCTCGGGGTCCACGAAGGCCAAGTCTTTGAGGTACAGAATGTCCACGATGTTGGAACGCTCCTCCTCGTACACCGGGATGCGCGTGTGGCCGCTCTGCATGATACTGGCGAGGACGCTGAAGTCCAGGACAGCGCCCGAATCCAGCATAAAGCAGTCTTCGAGGGGCGTGAGCACGTCCTCCACGGTCCGGTAGCGCAGGACACCCTTGCTGAGATCGCTGTAGGGGTCGCCGCCGCCGCGCGCCAGCTCCAGCACGCGCTCACGCAGACGCCCCGGCCGCGCTGCCAGCTCCAGCAGCTGCCCCACTGGCAGCGCCACGGGCAAGGTAAGCAGTACCGCCAGGCGGCTGAGGCCCAGCGCGCGCGGCGCCAGCGCCAGCGCCCAGCGGCCGCTCACGGCGACCGGCAGCACCTCGCCCACCAGAAACACCAGCCCCGCGCATCCCAGCACGGCGGGCACGGCGCGCTGGCCGGCCACTCGGTACAGCAGCACCGCCAGTGCCGCCTGCGCCAGGCTGGCCAGCAGCAGCAGCGCGCCCAGGGCGCAGCCGGCCCATCGCCGCGCGGGTTCGAGGCGCCGCGCAGCCGCGCGCTCCGCCTCCGAGCCGCTCTCGCGCAGCACCTGCACCTCGGCCGGCGCCAGCGCCAGCGCGCTCAGCTGCAGGCCGCGCGCCACGGCCGCCAGGGCCAGCAACCCGGCCGCCCCCAGCCCCAGCGCCCAGGGTGGCGCCCCCTCCTCGGCTGCTCCTCCACCCGGCTCCACGCGCACCGCCAGCAGCGCGGAGCGCGGGTGCCCGGCCTCGGCGCGCAGGCGCAGCAGCGCACGCCACTCGCCCGTGGGGGCGGCCGTCTCCTCGGGCTCCGTGGCCCGCCCGCCCTCGGGGCAGCCTGCGCCCTCCGGGGCCACCCAGGTCCAGGAGCTGTTGGCTAAGCCCGAGCAGAAGAGTCGCAAGCAGAAAGTGGCCTCCGGCGCTGCCCTTCCGCGCAGTGAGCCTGCGCCCGGCGCGCTGTCCTCCATGCAGAAGCCCAGCAGTCCCGCTCCCGGCGCCGCCTCCCCCGCGGTGCTGCCCAGACAGAGCGCGGCAAGCACCCAGCCCAGCCAACCCGCCACAGCCGCCGCCGCCGCCGCCGCCGCCGCCATGGCCTGCTACCCCTTCTGGGCCTCAAGCGCAGCCTACCCCGCTCACCCGCGCCTCTGCCGTTGACGCCAATCAGCGCAGGCCTTCGCGTCACTTCGACCAATAGGCGGCCGGCGGGGGCGGGCTCCGGGGAGAACTAGGCTGCGCCGGGGAGTAAACAAGCGGCGCGGGGCGGGCCGGGGGGCGTGGGGCTCGGCCGGCAACGGAGGGTTCCAAGCCGAGCTCTGGGACGACCTAAAGGGTCTCAACTCTTGCGTTGGAGGAAAGGAAGATTGTTAAGCCCCCTGGCCTACAAGGATTAGAACTGAATAAGAAGCAGGGATTGGGCACAGGGAAGCCAGGAGTTCTTTGTTTATAGGATTTATTAATTATGTGAATGTGTGTGGGTTTTTGCATGCGAGTGCTGTGCTCGAGGAGGCCACAAGAGGGCGTGGGGTCTTCCTGGAGCTGGAGTTACTACCGGTGTGAGGTGGTGCTGGGAACTGAACTGTCCTCAGTATGCATTCGTCACCTCTTGAGCCAGCTCTCCAGCCCTGTTGGATTGTTTTTAAAACTAAGGTTTCTTGAGAGTGTTCTTGCTTCAACTCGGACTCTGTGGGCATCAATACACACACTTGGTTTTGAGGAAGTTGCCCTGCTAGGGAGACCCATAGTAAATACTCAAACCCTTATAAATCAGTTTCCTTGAATCCTCATGTAGTCAGTCTTACAAGGGAAAGCAATGCTCACAGACTTTGGGCTCTGATGTGCGACCTGACATCCAGGTCGTCCAGCCATCTGAGGAGGTAGCAGCTGTCAAGAATTTTCATAATTGCTAGCTTCACAACCGCAGTTTATCCTGATTCCTCCGGTAGACGATTCTTAGGTCCTCGTTGTAGAAGACAACTACATCAATCAGGTAGAGTATTCTTCACGCTTTGCACATGGTCTTTAAAGGATTAACTTCTCTATAGGTATCCCCATACATGTTTTTGTATTTTCTCTAAACTTCCCCCCAAAAGTCCTAGTACAAGGACACTTGTTATACATGTCAATTTAAATCATATTTTTTTGTTTTTGTTTTTTTACGAGACAGGGTTTCTCTGTATTGTTTTGGAGGCTTTCGGTCCAGCCTGGCCTCGAACTCACAGAGATCCGCCTACCTCTGCCTCCCGAGTGCTGGGATTAAAGGCGTGCGCCACCACCGCCCTGCTTAAATCCTATTTTTAAAGATGTGTTTTGTTCTGTCTGTGTGTGTGGGTTCAAGTGTGTGTATATACACACTGTGTGTGTGGATGCCCAAGGTTGCCAGAACAGGACACTGTATACCCTGGAACTGGAGTTACAGGCATTTGTGAGTCACCACGTGAGTTCTGGGAACCAGGTCCTCTGCAAGAGCAGCCAGTGCTCTTAACCACTGAGCCATCTCTCCAGTCCCTTAAGTGATATCTATGCCTTTATGCCAGAAGAGGGCATCAGATACCACCATAGATGGTTGTGAGCCATCATGTGGTTGCTGGGAACTGAACTCAGGACCTCTGCAAGAGCAGCCAGTGCTCTCCAGCCCCTTAAGTGATATTTAAAAAGGATTCTGTAGACATAACTCACGGCCCTGAAAATACCAACCTAAAAAAGCATGTGCAGTATAGTGCAGAGGATAATATGCAAAAACAGGCCCATGAGGAAAGGTCAAGGGGGAAAATAATTTGGGAAGAACTCCTACCCAGCTAGGCTACATATCTCAAAATCAAACAAGGACCGGGAGAGATGGCTCCCTGGAGAGATGGCTCCCGGGTTACCAGTACATGCTGTTCTTCCAGAGGACCCGGATATGGTTCCCAGTGCCCATATCAGGTAGCTTTCCACCACCTGCACTTCCAGCTCCGGGGAATCCTACACCATCCAATGGCCTCACACACACGTGGTTCATACACACGCCCTCCCCAAGTCTTTCCAGAGTTGGCAGTGACTCTTCTGCATTGTAACTCAGAATGGTGTTTAGCAAATCACATCTCTGCTTCTGTTTTTCCTATCTGAGCAGTGCTATATGCTCCAAGAAGTTTGCCTCCTGCGGGTGACAGAACAAGCTACCAGCAGAAGCATTGAGACGTGGCTGTTCTTTTGCATTGGAACCGTCCTGCTGTCTTTAAGGAAAAAAGCCCCAGAACTTTAGAGTGGATTCAACCCCAGTTTTCACTGTGTCTCCAAGTCAAGATAAAACGCTGACACCAAGACAGAACAGATGGTGTGCATGAAATGAGTCACGGGTCTGAAGGATCAGCTAGCAAGGAGCCATCTACACGAGAGGAAGAACTCAAGTGGCTTTTCCCCCTCTCTACTTTTTTTTTTAAGTCTAAAAACCTTGAGTAAAAGAAGACCGAGTAAAATCTGGAAAACAACAGATGATCCTTAAACAGTCAGTATCCAAGCATATGCAGAATCCAGGCTGCTGGTGTGGTGTTTCAGTTTGGAGGGCTCTTCTTGTCTCTGCAACCCATTGCCTCACCTCTGGTTCATCATCTCTGCTCCATCACAACCTCAGTGGAGACACTTGACTTTTATTTAAGTTTCTTATGGGCCCTCCCTGGGACATTTTCCTTGGTGGTTGCTTAGGTCAAGCATTTATTTCTACTTTTTATCAGAACATTTATTTTTTATTTTTTTTCCAAGACAAGGTTTTTCTGTGTAGCCCTGGTTGTCCTTGCTCTGTAGACCAGGCTAGCCTCAAACTCAGATATCAGCCAGCTTCTGCCTCCTGAGTGCTGGTATTAAAGGTGTGCACCACCACTGCCTGGCTAAACATTTATTCATTATTATTATTTAAAATTCATAACTACTGTAATCCCAGCATGCAGGAAGCAGAGGCAGGATAAATAAAATTTCAAAGCCAGCCTGGGCTACAAAGAAACCCTGTATTAAACAAGACATGGGTCAGTGAGATGGTTCAGTGGATAAAGGCACCTACCTCACAAGCCTGGTGGTCCAAGTTCAATCCCTAAACCCATTTAAAGGGAAGAGAGAACCAACTCCACAAAGTTGTCCTTTGACCTCCACACATGTGCTGTATGGTGCCCGCACGCACACACACACACACACACACACACACACACACACACACACACACACACGCATGCGCACGCACACACACACATTTTAAAATAAAAGAATATGACAAGACAAACAGCTATGGGGGATGACTTCCCTGGCTAGCTTCTGCATTTCTCAGTTCCAATGTCCCTAACTTGGTATGATCTTCCCTGATTATGTTGACTAGACTGGGCCAAGGATCTAACCAAGATTTTCATTTGCTCGTTTGACAAGCATTTCCTACACTGCGTGCACTTGGGACCGGAACCTTTCTAAAGGCTGGGACTCTGGTAGGACAAAAGCTTCCACTCTCGTGGTGCTTGGAATCCAATGCTGGGACAACAGAAAACACTCAAGACTGTATTTCTAAGACCTAGCAGAAAGTGTTACAACGAGAAGAAGGGAACACTGAGGAGATGCTGTCTGAAATGAAGGTAACCAAGGAGGTGACTTTGAACAGGGGTTTAAGTGACATGAGGGGCACGCCTTGCAGACGGGAAGACATGTCCTAGTGTAAGTGTCAGCAAGTGCAAAGACCTTGAATGACGATCCCTTCTGGGGCTCTTCCTCACAAAACTCACTGAGAGGTTGGTAGCAGCTGATGTGTAGCAGGAGCTCAGCACCAAACATATCTTTGGGACAGACAGATGAATGTCATTTCTTCCCATTCCTGTATACACATATCTATGCTACCCTTTCATCTGAGATATTCTTTTTGTTGCCTACCCAAATGCTTTCTCCCTACCACCCCGCCCCCCATTGACAGGGTCTTCTTAAACAGCCTAGGCTAGCCTCAAATTCATGATCTTACTGCCTCAGCGTCCTGTGTGCTAGCTTACATGTGATAGCATGCTCAGTTCAAGCAGGGTAATGGAAGAAAGGAAAGCAGATGGAGCTCTTAAAGCCAGCTCTTACATAGCAAGATCTTGTCTTAAAAAAAATGCATGGTGGTACATTCATTTAATCCCAGAACTCAGAAGGCAGAGGTAGGTGGATCTCTGTGAGTTCGAGGCCAGCCTGATTTATACAGCAAGTTCCAAGACAGCTACAGAGTCAAAACTTGTTTTGAGAAACCTTGTCTCAAAACAAAAACAAACAAAAAACATAGACATGATGGTGCACACCTGCACGTCTAGCATTCAGGAGGTAGAGGCAAGGGCATCAGCACCTATTTGACACTCCCTAGTGAGACCCTCTCTCAAGCACAAATAAAACAACCTCCAATTTAATGTTGAGCTTTGCTTTCTTGATTCTCTGGCCTTGGAGCACGGGGACTGCACATGCTAGTTTTCCATATGCGTGCATGCCACAAAAGGGTTCTACAGCTACAATTCTGAGTGACACAGCCAGGAGGAAACCCTCAGTCAGCTGTCTCAGGAGATGGACGCTCCAACCCCGAAAGCACATCAGGCCGTCAAGATACACAAAGTAGCCTCTGCGTGCTGCGAAGCAACACAATCCCAGACAGTTCTTATCCCCCGTCGAGGGAAGAAGGGCAATTTGCTCATCCTGACTGCCCCGTCCCAGCACTCACAAACGGAATCCTATGACATCTGGTTTATTTGCCCTGCTTCTGCCAGCAGCTACCACTCCACAACTCCTGTGACAACTGCCTTGATTATAATATTTTCAAAATTACAGTTCTGTTTGCATTTCACTTCCAAACAGTTCCAGAATATTCAATCGTCCTTTGTCCCGTCACAAGTGATAGCCAGTCACTTCTGTCTCTACAGCATACAATAAATATGTCCAGAAGCAAAACACCCGAGTTATATACTCACCAAGATTTATATGCCTTTCATTTTTTATTACCAATCAAAAATAAATTCCATATATTGTTTAGCAAATATTATCATTGTTTTGTGACAAAAGACACAAGAGTCATAACAACAAAACTCCCCGAGAGTCAAACTCATAACAATGCCAAAATAAATCACAAAAATATACAAATTAAAATCTTAATGCAAAATAAATAGGAGTCACTTGCTACGGCTACTGTGACTTGCCTACCCACTTGGATGCCACCTGGGAAGTCTTCCTTACCTTAGAAGACATACAGATCAGGTCAGTTCCAGGGTATGGCTCAGCCCAGGAACCAGAGGTTGGAAGAGGAAGTGAAAAATTGCACTGGGAGGAGGAAGTCGGGAGACCAGTAATATTTGGAAATAATTATGACCCTCTGCAAGAAGTGATTCTAAATGGGGTGGGGGTGGGGGAGGGCTGGGAGGGGAGGGGGCCTGTCTGTCGGTGGTGACTGTGTATGCAGAGAGGTGACTGTGGAAGTTGTGCACCTGCTACTTCTGCCTCACACCCACCACGTGGTTTTGCTCTACCTGATACTTAGGTCTCTTAGGAACACAGCAGGGCAGCTCCTCTAAGGACGTTTCTTAAGGACATGAGGTCTGGTGTCTTTTTTCCCTGAAAGTTGAAAACTACTTTCTTCGCCAGGCTTCTAGGAGTAAATTCTGTGAGTGGAGTACAAGACACCCTGGCCCTAGGAGTTAGGATTCTCTGAGTACACAGACAGCAGAGTACTTGGGGTGACAGGACTCCACTGGCTGAGGGAAGGAGTAGATATATATTACACAAAAGGCCTGTGATCTTGCTCCCCTGGATCTTACACCCCAACAAAAGGGAAGATGTGGCCCTTGGTCAAAGTCTCCTAACAAGAGAGGTGTGGAGCTCTGAGCCACAGCCTGATTCCACTCCTGATTCCACAACTCGGGTAGGATTTCATATGGTGTGCATTGCCCAACAGTACCAACAGCATCGGCCTGAGCTTAGCTTTGGCCTCTAACTAGGGTAATCCTCAGGCAAAGGGGACTGGGCTAGCCACTGCATGCCACTAGGTGAAACCCTCCTTTCCTGGGTCCTTAAGTGGGCAAATGAGGTCAGGTGGGATCCTCCGTCAACTACACAGGCAAGGGTGTGATAACCCAGCTTGGGTGGCTTCCAACGTGTCCTGTTCCCAGTTCCTAGAGGGATGAGTGTAGAGATCAGAATGGGGGGCTGGGGAAGAAGTTTTCCTGGCTGAACTGTTGAACCCTGACTCTTCTTGCAGGTGTGGGTGGGTATAGTAGTAACTGCTAACACAGATACCTACAGTCACATTCAGCCCAGGAACCAAAAGGAGTATCCGGCAAGTCACCTCTAATGTAGGTGTTGTCCCCTCCAAGAGGAAACCTTTGGTAAAACTGAGAGCATGGCCAAGAAGCAGATAAGCGACTGTAGAGCCAAAGACCATGCTTAACTCTTGGAGCCAGACCCTTACAGGAGAAAATTGTCCAAAGAGGAAGATGAGAGCCGGGGGTGGCTCTCGGCCGAGTCTCGACTCACCAGGAGAGCCCGTGGACAGAGTTCTAGGAGATCACTGGATCCGGCCGTTAAAAGGGGAGATGTAGTCCTCTCGTGGCCAGGATCATCATGTCCCTGATGGGATCCCTCAGTGATGCATGTGTCCTAGCAGTTGATGTCAGGGTCATTTGGATCCCAGACTCCCCAGGCGTCCCCTCCTGTGGGCTCCAGGCCCACACTGCTGTAGAAGAAAGACTCCGAGAGCGACAGATGCAGGCTGCAAGGGCTTGGCCAGGAACACATTATGGCTGTTGCTTCCTGGGGTGAGGAACCCTCCTCCCCTTTTAAAGTTTGTAGGGTTTTTTGAAAAAAAAAATTTTACATAAAGTTCCTTAACCCTGTCTTCCCTTCCCAAAATGATATTTAAAAAGAGGAGCAATGAGCCTAGCTTAAAAATTCTCTCAGTGTTTAAAAAAAAAAAAGACAAAACCAGCCTCTGCTCACCAGCTGGGCAGGCATCATGTCAGAGCTGTTAAGAGGTCCCCATCCGCAGCCAGATCCCCTGGGAGGGATGTCTAGTTGCTCAGTCACGCAGGATATCTACCTGCTCCCCTTCTAGCCTAACAGGCTCCCTGACTTCATATGGGCCCACTGGGGAGACCCCTGCAGGGCAGGCAGGAGTCCCCGGGCCCTCCTGTCAGATGGCGCCTTCCTGGGATGGTCTGTGCAGCAAGGAGTTGCGTTCATTGAGAAGAGTCGTGGTCTCGTCTACCACAGGCAGCTCCGACTTCTCAGCAAAGTTCTCTGAGCAGGTGGCACAGCCATCCATAGGGAGCTGAGGGCTGTTGTCCATGCGGGAGGCCAGCAGCCCATTCTGGTACTGCTGCCTCGTGATCTGCAGAGCGAGGAGGAGAGAGAAAGAGAGAAGGATGGGTGTGCGATGCCGGGCTGAGATGTGAAGATCCACCTAGACCAGGCAAGGAGAGATGTGGCCAGGTGGGGCCTTCAAAGACAGCTG